CTTTAGTTATTGCGTAATATAGTTATGGCAAAAAAAAAAAAAAACTGATCCTTTCGCAAAAATCAAATTCGTAAAAACAGAAAATCACATTTATGCAGTAGTTCTGCTTACGCTCGTCAATTCAATCTAATGCTGATGCGAAAGTAGTTAAAAAATTCCTCAGCCCCTCCCTCCAAAAAAGTTGCTTACAATATAGGTCTAGGTAGCAAAAAAAAATAAAAATGGTAAAATATTTTCTTCAGTCGGCCTGCTAGCTACTTGAAAAAAAAAAAAGAAGAAGAAAAAAAAATCTAAGTCCGATCGAAAAAAAATATCGATTTGCCTTTGTTCTACTTTTGTTTTATAATGCAGCTTTGATGGAAAAAAGAGAAAAGAAATTCGTCCGTAAGCTAAATATTTTCTCAGTAGGTCTTCTTGATAATTTAAAAAAAAGATGATATCAGAATCAAAAGCCGACTGAAAAAATATTAATAGGCTTATTTGTCGATAGGCCGATCGGTCTACTCCTCCCCGCTCGATACGCCCCGATTTAATAAACTTATTAGTTTTTGTATGTATAAAAAAGTATACTTTTTTACTTATGCCTGTGTACGCGTATGTAGATAAGTGAGGTGTCCTTCTTATGTATTTTTTACGCTCAATCGAATAAGACTGACTGAACACAAATCTATAGAAGTAAAAAGCATACTAAGTATAAGCTATAAGAAACATAACTTCATACTTATACAAAAGTATAAGTACGAAGTATTATGTAAAAAGTGCAAATTATATTTTTTAAAAAAAATAAACAAAAAAATAAAATAAATCCCAATCTGAGTAACTCTTAATCTGGTGACCGAATTTTTCGTATTACGACTCAATCTTAATGATTCGAGGGTCTAACCTTTATATGTTTAGATATAAATTAGTATAATATAAATTAACTTAGGTAGACGATATTTTAATTTATGAAATCAGACAGAAAAACATACTTTCTCTCAATAAACATAACTTTTTTCGACGGATTTAGATTTCTGTTCCTCAAAATATGGGGTCCGCATACTATAAAATGTGTTCCAGCTAGTTGAGGCAGGATAGTTTGGTCCAAAGTTTGGCTTCCTTAGTGTTAATTTCATATTTTGCGTATTTTCAAGCATTTCTAGAACTTTTAAAGTGAATCTGAGCATTCTTGCGCATGTTTATAAAACTCTTTTATTCGATGATAAATCAATATAAAAAATATTTTTTAACAATTATTTATTATTTAATTTAATAATAGTCGAAAATATTAAAACTGTAAAGTGCACAAATTTTTACATCTCTTTTTAGCTTCAAGCTATTTGACTTTTTTGATGTAAGATATTTACATTTTTGATTTTTCTCTTTATTTGAATCNTTGAATGAAAAAAAGAGAAAAGAAATTCGTCCGTAAGCTAAATATTTTTTCAGTAGGTCTTCTTGATAATTTAAAAAAAATATAATATCAGAATCAAATGCCGACGGAAAAAAAATCAATAGGCTTATTTGTCGATAGGCCGATCGGTCTACTCTTCCCCGCTCGATACACCCCTATTTAATAAACTTATCAGAGTTTGCATGTGTAAAAAAGTATACTTTTTTACTTATGCCTGTGTACGCGTATGTAGACAAGTGAGGTGTCTTTCTTTTGTATTTCTTACGCTCAATCGAATAGGACTGACTGAACACAAATCTATAGAAGTAAAAAGCATTCTAAAGGTATAAAAAGCGTAACTTCGTACTTATATCTATGTACAAAGTGCAAATTATATTTAAAAAAAAAAAAAAAAAAAATCCCAATCTGAGTAACTCTCGGATTTTTCGTATTACGACTCAATCTTAATGATTCGAGGGTCTAACCTTTATATGTTAGAGATATAAATTAGTATAATATAAATTAATTTAGGTAGACGATATTCTAATTTATGAAATCAGACAGAAAAACATACTTTCCTTCAATAAACATAACTTTTTTTCGACGGATTCAGATTTCTGTTCCTCAAAACATGGGGTCCGCAGTCTATAAAATGTGTTCCAGCTAGTTAAGGCAGGATAACGGCCGAAAGTTCGGCTTCTTTAATGTTAATTTCATATTTTGCGTATTTTCAAACATTTCTAGAACTTTTAAAGTGAATCTGAGCATTCTTGCGCATGTTTATAAAATTCTTTTATTCGATGATAAATCAATATAAAAAATATTTTTTAACAATTATTTATTATTTAATTTAATAATAGTCGAAAATATTAAAACTGTAAAGTGCACAAATTTTTACATCTCTTTTTAGCTTCAAGCTATTTGACTTTTTTGATGTAAGATATTTACATTTTTGATTTTTCTCTTTATTTGAATCGTGAGAAAGACTTTTTCTCTCGACCTATTTAATAGATCAATATAGATCAATTGTAATTACTCACATTTCTCTCATTCACTTAGACGAATCATATTACGGATTTAATTTGGAGGATTTTCCCTAATTTTTATCCTGGAGCACTTCGATTGGTATGTCACTTTTATGATTGCTCTCTCTCTTATAATTAAATAAATATTGTGTCCTCATTTATGGGTTGTCCCTCTAATAATTAAGATTGAGTCTTAGTATGTGATATCTGATCTTCATAACAAAAATCATTCAGGGTGTTCCTTTTTTTTTTCTTTTTTTTCCGACTGTACTTGCCCAACATTTCTCTCTTCTCTCTGCATGGACAAAAGTGTGATAGTTTTTTCTTACGCTTATTTTACATTCAATCGAATGATATATAAAAGATAAATAAAAAGTGCATAGGATTAATAGTTTGGAAGTTATAAGGGTTTTATGTATAAAGATAATTTTTTTTTAACTTAGACGTATTTTCACACAAAATCTTATTTGCTTTGAAAGCATTGGCTCGATTGATTTGAATTTGATCTCAATCGGTTAATAATAATAATAATAAAATGTTTAGAGAACAATACTTCTAAAGGCTTTTTTATAAATAGCAGTGTGAGATTCGCATGTCAGATTAGCATAAATTAAAGAATTACTTTTTATTAGAGCGGATTTCAAACCATTATGAGATAATACGATCGAAGAATATGCATTCCTATCAGTCAGCCTATTACCATGGGTAACTGAGCTCCAGACCAACATAAGCTGATGGATGGTACCAAGCAAGATTAGAAAATTTTTCCAGTGGTCACCTGTAGCATTATTAACAGTGGTTACGTTTTAAAACATATAACACAATGATGTGATATTATACGGCATATAGTGCATTAAAAAAAAGTAAAAGTGTTTAACGTTTAATAAAAAAAAGAAGAAAAAAAGAAGGAAAAAAATTGAGGTTAATAATGTACGAAATTTCTTTTGAAGCATTTCTCAAAATATGGTAAATATTACAAGGTTCACTTTTAAATTCTAAAATGAAAAAAGTTTTTAGAAACGAACGAGAAATAAAGTACTTTTTAGAATATTATGTAATATTTGTAATAATTCCATGTTTATTAAAAGTAATAATAAATGCACATGGGATGCAGTTTCGACGAAAAATGCGGTCATCGGCTTGCGACAGACAGATAATTTTTTGATCGGCACTTGTTATATTTAGTTGCATTGTGGTCGATGGAGACTGTTAGTTTTGCCTCCATACTGTATCACAGGAAAAAAAAATAAATGAAATAAAAAAACTTTTTTTAAGTATTCTAAGAGAAAAGAGATTGATCAATACAAATTCTTGCTTCACTAACACCCTAAGCACGTCACTCATGTACAACACTTTTTATAAATGAAGTTTGAAATATTAAAATTAGGGTCGTAAATTTTTTTTCCGTTAAAAAAAAAATATATTTTTTCTTTCCTTTCTTTTCTGCAGTTTGACTGCTCAAAGGTAGTTTTTATAGTGGTAATAATGAAATTTCCATCCTCTTCAATTTTATGAAAATACTTTGAAAAAGGGTAAAGAAAAGGGGTAATAAAGTATATTATAAATAATTAGAAAAGTTCATTCGAATATCATTTATGAAATATTTGCAGCAATGTTCTAAAAAAGAAACAGTTATTATAAATTTTTTGACTCATTGAAAAAATTAGCATTTTTTTCACTTTAAATCATTTTCCAGGGCAGTAATAAGGTTGATATTCAATAATTGAGCTCTAAGCTCTCGGTTCGACGGTAATTTTTACAGTGGTAGTAATGAAGATTTTAACTTTCCTATTCTTATGGAAATAATTTGAAAATTGTTGTTGTAGTTCGGGCTATTGGTGACGGTCTGGGAAACATCCCCGAGGATGATCCGAAGCATGCCATCACAATTTTGATCCTCTTCAAAGGGGATGGACGGTAGCCCGACGACCTGCACGTGAGGTCGAACACTTTACGACAGAATAGTTTAAAGAAGACCAATACCGCACACCCTCGGTCCCTACGCAGACTGATCCGAGAAATAATTTGAAGAAGGGGTAAGAATAATTATCTTTGAAAAAAATATGTTATAGATAATTTAGAAGTATTCTTTCGAATATTGCTTATGAAATATTTGCAGCCTTGTGCTAAGAAAGAAGCACTTGCTTAGTACATGGCTGTAAGCAAAAGAAATTTTTTTTTCTTAGATTCTTTGAAAAATTAGCATGAACACGCAATTTATATTAATTTTTTTTCCAATTTTTTATTTTAAACGTAGTAAATACTTCTCAATTTTGGAAAATTTAAGAACTTGACTTTTTTCTAACGAGTTTGAGAACTGGGATATATTTTCGATACAATGAGGGGGAGGAAGAAATGACAGCTTTGTATTAGTGATTATATGATTTAATTTTATTGTTTGTTCCTTGAATCTTCGTACAATTTAAAATAACAAAAAGTTCAACCGCGTGGCTTAAATTTTATATTTGTCATTTTCCCTCGCTTGCCTCGACTGCAATCGGTGGTATTTGAATCGCATGCAGTGAGAATGACCTTTGAAAACTTTACGTCACAGAAGTAATGTTCATTATTTTTTAATGAGTCTTCAGATGAGCAGATATAGACAGCCATAAGCTCCCCTACAAGTAAATAATTTTTTTAATGAAATTTAAACAGTTTGAATTGCTTTATGATTTAATTTGGCATTACAGTAAATTAAATTGCGTATGTAATTCTTTTTATTAAAAACGCAGACAGCGGATAAGGTTTAAAATTACTATATTTTATCTCTCTATACATGGATTCCCCTAAAGTAATTGGAAATCAGCGTTTGTTAAACCATCATTCACTTTATAAAATGAAAACTCCTCCTTGGAAAGAAACGTTTCGCATGGTTAGATATTTTATTTTTAAACTTTATTTTTGTTTTATGTTTGTTAACATTTTGTTAACATTTTGTTTTTGGTATGTTAACATTTTGTTTTTGTGCCTATTTTATTTTTTGCTCTGTAATGAGACACAGAATTTTACTATTGAAATTTGACTATTTTACTATTTAAATTTGTTATTTATATAAATTTTAAATTTTACTATTAAATACAGAAATGTTTCCAAAGATTAAAATCCAGTCGTGGAAGATTAGTGGACAAATTTCGTGGTATTGGAGTAGAATCAGATGAACTAGTTGATGCACTGATGACAGAAGATATAAGAAGTTTATCTATTCAGCCTGGACATTTAAAATTAAATGTATGAGAATGTTTTATTACCTTATGTATTGTAAATGTTATTAATTTTTATCTTTTTACTAATAATATAATATTCTAAATTTTAGCAATTAGAATGTGAAGAAGTTGATGAGTTTTTATCGATATTACAGGAAATACAAAAAGAGCTAATGGAAGAAGGTAACTTTAGATACTTATTGCGTTTCTAATTTAATATATTGAGATACATTATTATTAAAGTCAAAATTTAGCTAAAGCTAATTAAAATAATTTAATGTAAGTTTTTAAATTATTATTATAATCAAGATTCAATATTTTTAGGTTTCTAATTTTTAGATTATTTTAACTGCCAAATGAGATTTACCAAATACCTAGAAAACACTTTTTAAATTTTTTTTTGAACCACTAATGCAGGGTATTTACTAACTACTGCTTTCAGTATAAAATTACATTACCCTAATGAGTTAGTTCAGGAAACTATGATATTGGTGCCCAGGATTGTAGAAAATATTTCTTCAGTACACAGTTTTCTTTAGTTTTAATACACCTCCAAAATTATAGCTTTATTTCCTCTTCAGTAATGTTTATATATTGTTAAAATTTTTGATGACAATTTTTTTTAGCAGAGAAAAAGAGAATTCACATACATTTTTATTTAAAAGAATTATTGAATGATCTATATACATGTTAATATTACAAAAATCAAAATAAATTGAAATTCTAATGTATAAAACTAAATTTAAGACTGTACCCATAAATTTAAGAAATTCAAACAAATTGACATGTAAAGTTGTGTTAGATTTAAGATAACAGAAAATATTCCTTTTCATTTTTACCAGTAAGTTTGTATTGTATGAGGAATTAAAAAAAATTATAGCAAATTTTTTTTTACTTGACAAAAAATCCCTACATCCTTGTTTGTTCCTAAAGGTATTGAAAAACTGGGAAAATTTAAAATTTTATTTGTTTAGTAGTGAATTTCCCCCTTTCTGAAAATATAAGTTTGAGACACCTTTGTTCATGTTGTATTCTTGCAACATCAAATTTATTGAAGTTAGCAACACGTTTTTATGTTTCACCTGGTCATTTAATAAAAACAGACTATTTGAAATATCAGAGAGATTGAATGTCTGATTCACTGTGAAGACTATCAAGCACCGATTCTTAGAACTAGAAAGAATTTACCATAAATAGCTAAGTTACCTTTTTATGTGATAAATTCTAAGCTACTCTTTCTAGTGATACTCTCTATATTTGTTCATTATTTGTTTTTATTCTATGTTTCTATTCAACCTTATTTTGGAAAATGAAATATTAAAGAATAAGTTAACTGTAGGTAATGGAATGAATTATTTCCTTCTTTGTATTATGTAAGTTTAAGAAGTATATAATACATTAATAAAGTGCAAACATAGTTTTGAATACCAGTTTCCCCATTATAATGTTTTAATTCAATAGGAAACTAAACATTTATAAGGATAAGTAACAATGTAATGTAGGAGTGCACAACCTTTTTGAGTGAAGGGCCACTTGCACAGCAGGCTGGCTAACAAAGGGCCGCAGATCTATTTAGACATGTTAATGACAAATGTAATAATGTTTATTTAAACATTAGCGTTCCATTTTTTTTATCAATAAACTTAGTAATATCAATAACTTAGTAGTGTTCCATTATTAGAATTCATTCAAAAATAAAAAAACTTATACTTTTTTTTTTAAAAAAAAAAAACTTGCTATTTTTATCATATGAACAATAGATTTATCAAAATAAATAAACATTGAAGAAAAGAAATTTTTTTTTTTATCATATCATGCAATACGAAAATTCATTTTAGAATTAAATTCTAATAAATAAAAAAAAACTGCAATGCCCACAGAATGAAAGTAGGAAAAAGTTTAGTCATAATTAAGTAATATAAATTCAAATTAAATATTTTAATTGAAGAAAATTTATAGGTTTTAAACAAAAGCCTAAAATAAAAACAAAACTGTGATAGTTCAAAATAAAATTCAATGCTTATTTTGTAATGTACTTTATTATTTTATTTTATTAATTATTAGATTTTTTATATCGTAAACATTTTCCTTTTTTTTATCGAAAAAGATCACTTAAGCAACAAAAAATTGAAATCTAAACTACAAACAGTGAGCAGTTTAAAAATTCACGTTTTCCGCCATTTTATGAATTTCTCAAGTTGCAATAACATTGCATTTAAATTAGGGAGGGATGTAACGAGTATTTGGCCCTTCTGTGAAAATTTCAGTTGGTTGAATGATCAGTCAAATATTCGGCAGAATATTTTTTAGAAATGTATTTTTCCAAGTTTTTTTAATTTTTGAATTTTTATAGATATTACTTCCTTTTTTTTAAAATTATAATCAGACAAGTCAATTTTGTCATTTTTTCAATACTTTGAGAATTGAGCTTATTATCACTCTTTCCCTGTACTGTAATATAAATAACCAGTAACATAGAAAAGTTTGATAATCAGTATTAAAGTTTTGTTTCAGGAACTAAGAAAAATTTGCTTTTTCTGTTTTTCTTTTTTTAAGGCATTTTTATTATGACTCAGCATTTTTTTTTTTTTAAGTAAAGTTACTAATAAAATTTTTTTTATAGCAATTTTTTTCTGCTAAAATTATGGCAATGAGAAAAATTTGAATTGAGATTTTCAGCATAGGATTTTCATTTAAAAAATTAAGAACGCTTTTTTTCTATCTTTTTATTTTCTTTAAATTAAAAATAACCTTTTTTTAGACGTTTTCATTATAACGTGGTAATTTTTAATAGCATTTCTTTCCTAATTCTTTTTTCTTGGCTTTTTCTGGTAATTGAAAAACTGAGATGTTCAGCTTTAAAATTCTTTTTCAAAAATTATGATTCATTTTTATGTTCTCTGTTTCGCTTTTCGACATTTTCAAAAACGTTCTTGATTGGCCTTATTTTTTAGAGTTAATTTATGAATACGTTTTTCCAGGAAATATTATTCTGAGCATTGAAATTTTAGTTTCAGTGTTGCTATGCTGCTAAAAGATTTTGCTATTTGGCCCCAAGTGTACGACGTTCAGTCGATTTCTTCTTCTTTTTTTTTTACCGAATATTTGATTTTTGATCAAATCACAATTCATACCACATTCGACCCAAATCATATTCGTTGCGGAAATAAAAACGGAGGAAAAATAACTAGGATTTAAAGTAAAACTGTACCGAAATACTGTATCAAAAATGGATTATTTAATTTCGCGATTAACAATCATGTGTCGTAATAACATAGTTAAATAACGGGATCGTCAAAATAATGTGGAAAAGCATAGAAATAAAAAATATATTTATGCTGCACGCAGCACGAATAAAGCGTTTCAAATGCATGATTTAAAATTTGCATGTCGTAATAGAACAATTGGAATTTTTTATAATACGTGGGAACGCATAGCAATAACTGCCGAAAAAAATTTTTGAAAAAAAAGAAAGAATTGCAAAAAAAAAAAGATAAAAAATCACTTAGATTTAAGATGAAATCGTCACAAATAAAGTGCACAAAAAGTGATTATTTAAATTTGCGATCTGAAACTCGCGTCGTAATAAAAATTCGGGATTTTCGAAATCACGTAGAAAAGGGGAAATAACTGTTTAAAAGAATAATTTATATTTACGATAAAATCGGCTTAAAGAAAGTGCGTTAAACGTACATTTACTAAAGAATCTGATAAAATTGATTGTGTCAAAACGTGATGACTTAAAAATTGCGATTAAAAATTGCCATTTTTAAAATTTTTTTTTTGTGTTTAGAAGCTCTCGCGGGCCGCGCTTTAGTAGTCGAAGGGCCGCAGGTTGTGCACCCCTAATGTAATGGTATTTTTTATGCGATCTACTATACAAAATCATTACTGTTGTATAAAAGTGATTCTTTTTTAAATTCATTTCAATATTTTAAAAGTTTTATTTTTATACTGGTTCATTGAAATATTTGGAGACATAATTTTTGTCATTGGGGGAAAAAAAAATTGATCGAACCGGATATTGAAAACTAAACTGCTGAGAACCTGCTAAGTATGGGCTGAACATTTTATTATCTTTAGTGTTTATCTATTGTAAATTCAGCTAATTTGAAATTTTTCTTCAGAAAAAAAGTGGATTGAAGAATACAGCTCACTGTCAGAAACTAATAGCTTAGAATCAGCTCTTGATTGGTTACAGAAAGAGGAAGTTATTTGTCCTCTTTGCCAAAGGTATACTTTTTTTGCTTTAATGTATTTGCTCTTAATTGTAATTTTATTGTTCTAGAAAACATAAAACAATGAAAATTAATGTATTTTGGGTGCTTTTATTTCTTTAAATAATATATTGCTTTCCATAAAATTTGTGGAAAATATTTTTAACACCAGAAAATGTTTAGTATAATATTTTGTTACAAAAGATTAAATGATAAACAATTTTAATAATATTTTTTATTTATTTATAATTGATCTGAAATAATTGTTATGAATGAAAAAATTCATCAATATTTATAATTTAAATAATATTTTATTAATATTTGTTACATTCTTTTTCCTTTTTTAAACTTTTCTTTCATGTAATTATAATTTTCCTTTTGTTTTAGCAGTAGATATCAATCAATGTAATTAGTAAATATGATTTTGTTTTACAACTTGATATTGCTAACCGTTTTTTTAAAAATTTATTTAAGGTAATAAACTATTTAATTTCTTTTTATATATTTGTATTTTAAATATTTCATCTGCTTAATTTAAATTGCATATTCTCGATGTTTAACTACAAGGTGTTGTTTATATTTATTAGAAATCCATTGCACCAGAATGTATCAGTTATTTTTTGTGCATGTGGAATGAGAATTGACACTAAAGTGAGTACTTTCATTAAAAACATTATATTTTAAAGATTTTATAGCATTGAATTTAAATGTCTTAATTCAAAAATCCCATTCTTAAATTATCTATTTATTAAAATATTGGCCTTGTTTTAAGCGATATATATATATTTTTAAAAAACCTGTTTAAAAGAATAAAAATACACAATAATTTTTTAAAAACATTTCTATAATTTTCTAATATTTTAGTGAATGCATTGTGAACATCAGGATGATTTAGTGAAAGTTATGAGCCATTAATGTGAAATTAAAAAATTGAAACTGTTTTTCTCTTTATTAGATTACTATGGCTTATAATACTTAGTGAAGACAAATGATTGAGTACAACAAACTATGTTCAATAAAGATAACTTCTTAAAAAATTTTAATTCACTTTTATCAAGTTTTGTAAGAGCTAAGATTTTATCAATTCCTTTTGTTCTAATAGAGAAATTTTTTATGAATCTATGATTTAAATGATTCACGGCTTATGTACTTTTTAATTGAGAGAAAAATATGATGAAGATAAATAAAAAATAGGGTCTTTTTCTTTCAAGATATATGTTATGCATTATGTTTAATACTAAGCAGCAATTATTATTAATAATAATGAATTTATATTGTTAAAGTGATTGATTTGTAAAAATTCCTCACATTCTCCATTTAATTGACCAGTAATAATTACCAATGAAATTTGGTAAACATAATGAACAATAAAATTTAGCTGTATTTTATTATGTTTAACTAATTTAATCCAACTTTATAAGTTAGATATGAATTTACTAGGAGGCAGGAATATATGTGGAAATTTTAATTTAGATTAAATACAATAATTTAGCAGTTCATAGATGAGTTACTTTTTAAAAATTAAATTTGTTTTTGAGGTTAAGGGACATTTCCCAGTGTATGCTTTCCTGACACCTTTTCAGACTGTAGTACATTTTCAGGTTAAAGGCCACTGCTGGTATTCCCTACGTTTATGTTTTTCAGGCAAAAATTTTCCTTGCATTCGCTCAGACTAAAGTACTTTCTTGAAATATTGCTTAGATCTGAATTAGGTGTAAGCATGATAATTCGATAATTAATAACAATAAGCAGAATTTAATAAAAATAACTAAATTAGTCAGTTAATGTGAATGGTTTGTGTGTGAGTTATTTTTAAATTCCAATCTTATATGATAAGTATTAATGTTTTAATTTTGTAACATTGAAAAATAAATTTGGCTTTTATTATTTGATTTATTAGAAATATTTGGTGAGTTAAAAAATAATTTCATTAATATAAAAATATTATTTTTTTGCCTTAGATTATATTGTTGTCTAAATTAAATAAACATTTATTTCTCTTTCAGCAAGATGGTCTTACTTTGTCACACTTAAAAGAGAATTTGCATATGGGACTTACTGAGCATGAGGAAATATGCCATGAAACTCCTAGTTTTTCTCAAATTCATTTCGGGGATGCTAATAATATTGTATTGACATGTGGAGTAAGTAAAAACTTTTCTTTTTAAATGAGTATCATTTAAGTACTAAATATTTGTATTGCCTTTAAAGAATATAAAATAATGTAAGTTAACATAATAACAATAATTAAATAAAGATATTTTCAACTAAGTAGTAGTAGTAGTTAATTTACGTCGCACTAGAGCTGTACAATGGGCTATTGGCGACGGTCTGGGAAACATCCCGGAGGATGATCCGAAGACATGCCATCACAATTTTGATCCTCTGCGGAGGGGATGGCACCCCCGCTTCGGTAGCCCGACGACCTGCGCGCGAAGTCGAGCACTTTACGGTAGCACAGTTTAACGAGGACCAATACCGCACACCCTCGGTCCCTACGCAGACTGATCCAAGTGGTCACCCACCCGCACACTGACCGCAGCCAGTGATGCTTGACTTCGGTGATCTGCTGGGAACCGTGTCTTAACGATCAGTCAACTGCGGGACACTCCACTAATGATTCTAATAGAACTAAATGAAAACTTAATATAAGCATGAAAAAATCCTCCCCGCTAAAGGACGTATTCAAGTGTTGTGATCGCGAATACTCGCAATAGTATCTAAATACTCGCACTTGCGTTTGACCAACACCTATCACCTACTAACGCAACTCAATTTTATGCTGTGTGATTGGCCCTGTCTACGCGCATGCAAATGTTTAATTGCCATACTCTCTGGATGTCATACGCAAATGTGATCTTGCATCAATACGAAATTAATAAATAAAAAATTAATAAATTGCAGTAAATAATTATACATTTTTTGATTGGTTAATAATTAACTGTTATTTAACTGCTTCATTAAGAATAATAGTTTTGTTGCTTTTTTTTTCACTTCAAATCTATTTTTCCCTTGCCAATGTACTATTCTAACTGAACAAATGTTGAAAAAATCTTTTTGCAACATAGGTAGTTGATGTTTTTTATTTTATTGTATTTGGCATTTTCAAAAACTTGCATCTTAAATATTATGATTGCATTTTGGATTTGTACACATTTCAAAAACTATTTCTTTTATAAAATAAGCTATGTTAACTTTGGAATTAAATTTTTTTTTCTCCAGTAAATGAAGCTAGCTTCCCGAAAATTTTTAATGTCATAACTGGGAAGTTTGACCACAAAATTCTTTATAACAGGCATAATTATTATTTATCTCTTTGTACCTTTTAAGTTAGAAATTAAAATTAAAGACAACAGTAATAGATGGCCTGAGAAAGAAGCAGTGTGCTGTTTGTGCAGTATTTATTTAAAATCTTATCTATTTTTAAGGATAATAATTTTATAAACTCAGATTTTGCTTAAAAATGGGGCTTGTAAATAAATTCTCATGATTTTATTTTAGGGTTTTACTTTTTACTTGACCTTATCAGAAGTTACATTGCTCTTAGATGTTTTGATAGAACATTGTGTTTATATAGTCAAAATATATTTAGTGTTGAAAGAAATAGAGGGAATTTATGTACTGATGAACTAATATTTTTTTTAAAAAAAGAGCCAGTTTCTACACTGGATGGCTTTTCTTTTCCCACTAGAACTGTGGATGAATTCAAAAGGAGGCAAACACAATCAATTGGCTTATAGTTAGCAGCTTATTGATGTAGATCCAGAAATTATTAAAAAAAGTTTTCAAAATTGTATAACAAAGCTTTGAACAACTGTGAAGGAATTAGCTTAGTGTGTTACAATGAAGTAATGAAAATTGCTGTACATAGCTATTTTTAAAGACCCTGCCATAAAATTTTGTAACGGTAGCAGAAATTCTTTTTGTCACAATGCTAAGAAAAATGTACTAAATTGCAACTAATGGATTATCACTCTTTAAACATAAATAATTTTATTCTAGTGAAAGGTATATATTTTGGAGAGAATTAGTTTAAATCAGTGTAACCCTTGTTGCTTTGTTAGATTATCATTTAAGCATCAATTCTTTCTTAGTAGTTATTTAAATATTAAAATAAATAAAATAAACTGAAAATATTTGACTTTATGGAAGATTCTGTAAAATAGAAGGATTTTAGTATTCAGTTAAGTCAAATATTTGGCTCGAAAGAAAATGAATATTATATGTGTTCCTAAAAGTGTATTTGAAATTTGTTAATTTTAAAAACCATTTATAGAATTTTTTCTACATTTGAAACTATTTACTATTAAAGTTTATTAAAATGAAATGTTAATAATGTTTCAATCTCTGTATTTTCTAATACAGTGATTTTTATTTTTCAGGCTTGTAACTTCATGTTTATAATAATTTGATCAATATCATCGATTATGTATTATATTTGTATAAATATTTTGTAAATAATTTTATCAATTTATTACCTTTTTTTTATATTTTATAGAGTATAATTTTATGTGTAGTTTTTTTAAAACTTTTCTAATGTTTGATCATCAAACTTTCCAATATGTGTTTTTCATAAATCACAAATTAATTGTATTTAAAACTCAGATTTCCTTAAAATTTTTGAAAATTGATAGTTAATCTATGTTACTAACTTGCTATTTTTTTTATTATTTCAAAAGTAACAGTGTTAAATAAGTAACAGCATTATAAATATAACAGTGTTATTAAAAAGACTGTCAGTATGCAAATTATTTGTATAAAAGTCTATTTCATGTATATTTTTTGAATGTTTGGGAAAAATGTATAGCATTTTTGTGACTATCAGAAAAAGTCAATAAAAATTGTAACTTTAATTCTGATTTGTATTTAATTTTGCTAGAACAAATATATTTAGTTTAAATTTATGAATGTATGTGAGCATTGATTAGGTGTGCTTTTCTTTTTATGCATTGGCATTGTACAAATACATTATAATATTTGTGCAATGCATAAAATGATGAAAGAAAAAGTAGCGTTATTTTTAAAATTTTTTAATGTATTTACATTTTTGTTTTTATAAATAAAAGTTTGTCTTTAGTATATGTCTAATACTGTCAGAGGTGAATCCATTATTTATTTTTGAAGCCCATTTTTGTAAAAGAAAAGTTCTATTTTTCACAATATTTTTGTGGAAGCATTTAATAATTTATGTATATAAAAATAATTTTTTAAAATTATGAACAGAAAATAGTAAAGCAATCACAAGATGCTAGGTATCTTTTCTTTTTTAAAAAAAAGAGGGTCAAAGGAAAACTTCCCTAATAAGTTTTGTTATTCAGCTCCTATTTACTTCTGAATTTGTTCTGAAGCTGCGATAATTGGTGATGGAAGGATTTTGTAAAGGGCTCATTAGCAAAATAAATGAAAGGGCTGTTTTTACAATTTGAATTTTGTGAGCGGATCAATTTATAAATTTGAATTTTGTGAAGGTGTAGCTTTTACTCTGTTAATTTTTATGAAGTGATTTAAAAGACATGCTAGAACTTTGGAATTCCCTTTATCATTTAGAATTCTTAATATGAATATATTGCTTGAAAGATATCTAGCCACCCCAACCTCAAAAGTCCATGACTTTGTCCCTAAATGATTAAGCTTAGTGTTTTAAGTAAAAGTGATTACATAATGTTCAGTTTAGTTCGTAAATTTGCATTAAAGACTGAAAAGATGTATTTCTCATTTTTATAAACTTGCTTTTCGAGCTGTTTCCATTTGTGTATGCACACATTTCATGCTATGTCCAAATCTAAATATTCACCAATGATTTATTATGAAAAATTGTGTAATTTTTTTAATTATTATTAAGGGAAAAAAATCATCTTTTATGCGTCGTAAAAGTGTTTGTAACTTTTCTGAATATTTTAAAAGCATTAATTTGTTTTTAAGAATATCTGTTTCTTTTTTATTTTAATTCTATCAAGTCAAAATCAGTGCATAGATGGGAATCTTCTAACATTTTTGTAACACCTCTTTGATATTAACTTGTTAGTGCTGGGAAAAAGGTTTGTCTGACCCTAAACCATGATAATTTTTAACACTTACACTGAATTGTGAGAAATGTTAGAGAAAAAGTTCGTTCATTTCTTGCCGTATTTTATATGCAGTCAATGTTTGCAATATTTTTTTTATGCAACTGAAATTCTTGATTATAATTTGTTTCATTATTACCACTCAGTTACTACTCTGCATCTGTGAAAAATTGTTGCAAAACACCTTCGAATATCCATTGAATCAAAAATAGGAAGTTATAATACCTTTAATCTATCTATATATATATTTTACACAGCACCATAAACTCTAGTACTTCTCTATTAGCAACACTATAGTTATTACTCATTTGGTGTTAAGTAATAATTTAAGCAGCATTAAAAATTAGTTATATGCTAAGTATTTATTTAGATTCATTTTGTATAATATAAAAAAAAACTTAATTACAAAGTAATTATTTAGATTTAATCTTGATCCATTCCAAAATGGCTATATGAATTTTAAACATAAATGGTGCTGCATACTGTCATACCAATCATCGGTGCCTTTGCAATCAAACTTTCCCTTTTCGAACAATGGTATGTATATACAGTAGGGAACCGATTATCCGGATAACTGATTTTTCCGGTTTTCTGAATCGCTACAAAAAGCCGTTTTTTTTTATTGTTAAACCCAACTAAAAAAAAAAAATATTTGGAAATAGTCTTAAAAAGAAGAAAAAACGATGAAGTAATACACTAATGATTATTTCCAAAATGATGGTAAGGGAAACATCTTTCAAAAAAGAACGAAAAATCCTAAAATCTTATGAGGAAAAAAATTTTTTTTTTAAAAAAATGGCGGGAAAATTTATTGAATTTCGTTCCGGTTTTTTGGTTTTCCGGATAACGGGTTCTGTACTGTATTACACGATACTTAAGTTATGGCTTGAGAGGTGCATGGGGAATTAGTACAGCACATGATGGAACATTGGTGCTGTACTAATTCATCTTATTTCACAACAGAGGTGGAAGTTTTTTTAACACTTCTGATGCCTACTATGTTGAAATGTCCCAAACTCAGTGGTTTGTGTGATTTAATGGTTGCCAGACAGATTTTAAATTATTACTAAATTTCATCACATAGACAACTTTGACAATATCGTAGACATCTATTGAAAATATTTCATATCTCAGAATTTCAACAGAAGTTTCTTGTTTAGTATAGTATGTCCATTTCTACCTTTATTCAACAAAGCTTCTTTGTTAATTAGGAATTTTGACACAAGATCTACTTACTTTTGCAGCTTATGTGTGGTAAAAAAAATTATCATCTAATTATTATTTTTTTAGTAGTGAATGGAGTGTGAAATTTTTAATGACAAAAGCATAAGAAAAATCATTCTTTATTATTCTGTTTTGTACAAGAAAAAGCTTTATAGAACTTAATCATTCAGTACCAAACTTTAAAAGCTATACCAGTGAAATTGTTCTAATATCAAATAATCACAATATAAAACAAAAAAATGGAACTTTTATACAATTAAAAAAAAATCGGAGTAGGAGAAAAATGTCTGTAGAGCATTTTAAACCACAAACTCTCATTTTGTTGACTAGATTGGAGTTCAAAAGTACATCTAGAAGTTGCAAGTTTTTAAATTAAGCCTTACCTAAGTTCACAGATCAGAATTTACCTGAAGAATAATTTAGTATGCTGTATATTGGAGAAGGTACAGCAAATATTTTTGTAAACACTGCAAAAAAAAAGTAATTTTTTTTGAAAAACAAAAAGTGGCAGTAGTACTGAAAAAGTATAAATTTTGAAATAATTTTCACCTTTATTTCACATACAAGGTGCTTTCAAAAAAATTCAGTGAATGGTCCCATAGTTGAATAATTGTGGTGGTTATAAAGCCATTGCAACTAACGCCCTCTAGTATCCAAACCCTGACAGTACAGCAAAAAAGCACGCTTAAGACCAATTTAACACACCGGAAGATGTGGCTCTGGAAAACAAAGCAACGAGTGGTTTAAACCCTTTGGAGGTGGACAATAGTGTTAATAAGCATTCGCTTACAGTATCCAGCAGTTACGCAACATGTAGTTAATGACAAGTTATTTAAATACCAGAAAAAGGTATTTTGCAACTGTTACTTATATTTTAAGAAACCATTCACAAATTTTTTTGAACACACTTTGTATTGTAATACAAATGACATAATTAGCCTTGAAAATATTTCTTTACATTTTAATGTATGACAACACAACAACCTATCAAATATTAGAATATGAATGTTTTACAGTTCAAATAAAATCATGACATTTTTGTTCAGCCCTTATTTGTCATTGTCTAGGCATTAACAAAAAGGACTTATAAGATACATGTCTTCAGAACATTTTTGAAAGAAATTATGAAAAATCAGGCTAAAATCTATTTAGTCTGAATATATTAAGCTTCTGTCAGTTTCTTTAATCAGAACAATATTTCATCAAACTGTTTCCATATTAAATTGCACGGGAAGAATTGGTTATCTATGCAGAGAATAATACAGTTAGGAATGTGGCTTTCAATGTGGAGAATCTCCAGGTTATAGAAATTGCTGAATAGTTTGAAAATTTTTAGTTTTGTGATACATTCATCTTGCGATTTTTAAAGTATAAAATTGGTAATGGATTAAATTTGTGTGAAATATACATTAATCATACAGAAATTATTTTTTTAAGTTCATCACTGAACTATTTTACGCATTTTATTAAGTACAAGTAAGCTAAAAACCAGTTTAATTCATTTTCAGTAATGCTATGGGAAGTAGAATTCTTTTTTTTGTTTTGAGAAAGACCAAGGTTAACAATTGTTTTGAGATTTTTAAATATGAATCATATCTATGAAGAAAATATTTTATTAAGTTGATTAAAAAAAAGAAAGTAATAGCTTAATGCCACTAAAAGTTCATAAAGATATTAGTTTTAAATTTTAAAAAAAAACCTTAGACATATAGGAAAAATCTAAATAAAGTAAACACTTATGTTGAACTAGAAATAAAATTATCAATTATTTGCTATACTAAGACAATTTCTCATACCATAATTCACACAATAAAATATTAAACAGTTAATTTTAATACTAAAATCTGTAAGTTTCATCTTATAATTTAGTAGTTTTAAAAGAAATGCCAACTATCTTTAATATATTTTGGAGTTTATTGGAATTCCTCAAAAATCTCAAAGAAATTTTGATATTGCTTCTATTTGGAAAAGAACCTTATAATGGAATAAAACAAATTACATGCAATTTTAAACTAAGTCCTTTTTATTTATTCTATAGTACTGAACATTTAAATTATTTATCAGTTTTCAAATCAACTTTTTTCAAAATAAGATATTAGATTGCAACAAATGTTGTATATAATATAAATATATATAACAGTTAGTATGCCTGTAATTTTATCAATGTGAGCCAATAAACATGTAGCAATAATTTTGCCAGTAAAAATGACACTAATGACTTAATTTTTATTTTGTTCTTTAATATTTCACTGCACTTTGTATTGATCTTGTTTTATGATATTAAATTTACATTTTTGGTTAATGTGTTTGAGTGCTGTGAGGAAGAATCTGATCTGAAACTCTGCACGGCTGTCTACTTTAGATTTTAACTATCTGAAACTTAGCCTTGTCACTGTACTACACGAATGTTTTAAAACTATTTTAATGGCGACTGATAGCCAAAGCTTAATTACAAATCTGGTTTCTAATCGCACTTCAGTCTACAGAAGCAGCCCCCAAAATAAATCTTATTAACATTATTTTTATTTTTTAAAAATACATCATTTATGAATAAAATTAGCTTAACATTTATTCCACGTACATAATTATTTTCTAACAGATGGTCCAAGTCTAAAGTCGTTGAATTATTGATTTAACAAAAAAATCTAATTTAAACCTACTTTTCAAAAGAGTAAATACATTAAAAAAAAGTACAGTTTATATAATTTTCTAAAACTCCAAAAAATGGATTCAATAGCATATAATAAACGTAATACTGGTAGAAAAAAAATTTCATGAAGCTCAAATACAAGTTAGAAACAGTACAATTTAGAAAATCTATTAAAATTATTTTTTATTAAATTATAAAGGACATTTCTATATGCTTAAAGGTGTGTTTTTCATTCTTCTAAAAATATGAAATCATAAGGAAAAATATTCATTTTTAAGTATCTGTATATATGATGCCCTGATGCAATTTTCATTCAAAGTTATATTTAAAAATGCAAATTGGAAGCACAGAGCACACTAGTCAGCATTTAAAACTTAGACTTTGAAAAGGACAACAGCTAGTGAATATATTTTGTATGTATACATCTTCATTTCAATAGGAATTCTTTTTCTACAAACACTTTCAATATCACAAAAATGAACACTAAAAAATGTGGAAAAAAAAGAGAAAGAGGACACGAACACGATTTATATTCCAAAGAAAAATACAACAATTGAAAGAAAAAATCACAGGAATGTGTTTCCCCTATCGTGTCATGATTTAAAATGTAACACTTTTCAGCTGACTAAACTGAAAAATGTCTTTTTTTTTATTATTCTTTTTGGAAGAATATAACACAAACAGCTGAGGCACAACCATTTTTGTTGAGTTCGAAGCTTTCCGATCCTATATTGGGAGCATTTTACATATATTTCTTAAAGCTAGGTGCAGTGGAATTTGCTCACAACTTCAAACAACAGTTTCTTCGACTGGTTCTCCCTTATTGACCCCATTATGCCATGATGGGCTTTGCAGTGATTGCTATAAAGGTTCGGTGTCTTGCATTAAAGGCTGAGATCCGTCATTTCTCTTGTGAATCACTTCAAAATGAAAAGCATCACTAGATTTGTTAGGTTGAGGGGTGGAACTGGGTGAGGAATCAGAATGGTGAGGTGGTGGCCAGACTCCAACAGTGGAACTTGGATTGTCCGGAATAAAAGCTGCAACTAATAGGGCCAACATCACTAAAAACGCGCCAAAAACAAATGGAGGTCCAGGTATAAGCTGAAAAAACAAGAAAAATATTTAATACCAGCAATTTGATTCCATGTTTACTGATTTTGCATTACAAGGGTATGTTGTATACTGGAGAACATATGTTTCCCTCAACAAGATAAGTGGGACATCAATGACCTAGTGTCTAACTGCAAGAAGTGAGTTCAGATAAAAANAAAAAAAAAAAAAAAAAAAAAAAAAAAAAAAAAAAAAAAAAAAAAAAAAACAATGTGCTGCCAAAAGAAAAACTTTCTCTTTAAAAAATTAGATATCAGTCTTGAAAAGGTTAAATTTCAATAAATACATAGCTGAAAAAAAAGAAAAAGAGATGAATGTATTTCTCCCTAATGTGGAAAGTCAAAGCTAATGCCTCATAGTAAATTAGTAACTGCTAATTACGGTAGCCAGTTTTTATCCCAGCATCCCAATTTTTAAAGCAGTACATATGCTTTACGATATGTCATATGCTTATAAATTGATATAAAAATATATTTTATTGCACTGATTTTCATTTTATTACCCATAATGTTTTCTTTGCAGTTTATATTTGTTTAAAATTATTTGATTTAATAATAAAAAAAATAATGACGTAGATTTAATTCTCTTATGACGAATCTCTAATATGTTAAGCCCAAAGATAACCAATATGACACAAGGTATTATTAAATAATGTGTACCTAATTGTCCCAATATATAAAAATGTATGATCATTTTATGATAACTACAGATGATTTTGTTGACTAATACTGACTAGACTTGCAGACTAATGCCTTTAAAAATAAATACGGCACTGAAAGGACTGGATTAACTCTTTAACCAGGATTGGCTGGTTTAAACATTGGTTAAAACCAAACAGTTTTTTTTCAAAATATTGAACAGTTTTATTCAAAATATTGAACAATAGTTAAAAAAGATATCCATGAAAGGCTTTTTGATGATTTAGTAGTGGTGTTTAAAGTATTTTTTAACCATTTGTTTTAAGTATGCCAAAAAAAACTTTGTTTCAATCAATTAAAAAAAAACAACTACTTAGAAACCAAAAATTCTCTAACCCTGTCTTTAATTGATATGCTAGTTAGCAAATTAGAATAAAAATTTCCGTAGCAGGTACATTATCATCTGAGAAAATAGGTTCTTGTGCGAGAATGCAAAGTGGTTGTACTTTGAACCGAGTTCCGGGACAGTTAAACGACTATAATTAACTATTTAACTTAAAACAAGAACATTACCCTAGGTTCATCAGGAATTATCAATGTTCCATTTACGCTATGAATGAATCCATGGATATTTGATGGTATACTGTCATTCACATCTCCACTTAAATCCACGTGGAAAAGGTAAAATATAAATCCATAAAGTGCTGGGCCCAGCCCATTACATAAGCCTCTCATTCCAGTGATGATGCCTTGAACTAAACCTATAAGCAAGATAATAACATACTCATTTTCTTTTAATGTTTCTTTTTTTAAAGACCATATGTACAATTTTTTTTAATGAATTTTACAACATAAAGAGGCAAATACCTTGTTTATCGGCATCGGCATGTGTGGAAACAAAAGAACTGATGGCAGGATAAGTAATACTACATACAGATGCTAAAACCCCAGCAGCCCACATCATCCTAAAAACAATAACAAAATTTAGATAGCTAATAACTTAGTTTTGTGGTCTTTTATAAAATTTTTGGTTAGATTGTAAAAAATAGAGGAGCACAGCCTGCTCCCAAAAGCTAGATAGGTTTTCAAACAGCAGTGCAATCACTACCATTATTTAGCCCAAAAAATACATAACAAGCATAAGAAAAATTTATGATTGTTCTTTAAATAATTATTATTTTTTTTAAAATTAATCATTAAAATTCTAAAGTGCAGATATATGAGTTTGACTTTTACGTTTTTGATGTTAAAAAGAAATTGTTTTGATTGTAAAAGATGTTTTTTTTGTTGTTTTGTTCATTCATTGTTCAACAATTTATTTAAAACTGGTTGTGCATCCCCAGTAAAAATATGTTAGTAAACAAATTTCAATAAATATTTGCATACATAACAAAATGAGTATATTTGCAGTGCACTATAATAAAATAGAATATAATGTATAAAAAGAGGAAGAAACAATGTAATTTACAAAGAGAAATGTTAATTTTTAACTATATTAAGTACTATCAACTTTGACAAGGCATAGAAAAAAGATTTTTAGTATTATCTAGTGTTGATCTAAAGTTAAACAATCACTTTTTTTTGTAAACTAGATTGTTTGTACATTTTTACACTGTGTTCTACTTCATTACACATTTAAAAAAAAACTTGATCATAAAGGTAATATATTTTAATAAAAATGTTCAAAAGTGAAAATTGTTTTCAAAGTTAAGTAGGAAGATAAAAAAATAATCACCATGTCCTTGAACCGAATCCATACCACATAAGTTGTAACATTTCAAATAACAATCCAACCATTATAGTATGTTTAGCTCCAATCGTTTTCATTAACATTGCTAAAAATGCAGTCTGTAAAAAATAAATATATTTAAAAAGGTTCCCTTTTATATTGATAGCCTATAAAAAAAAAGTTAAAATTTTTTAAAAAGAAATTTAGAATTGTTTGTAATTAACAACGCAAATAATGATTAGATTCACTTGGTTTTTAGGATTATATTTTAAAATTAGTTGTCAGAAATGGACTATAGTCTGTATATGGAAAGAATTCACCTCTTCATTTGGAACAGTGGCAGAGATAATGTTTACGAGGTTTAACTATTTCATGTGATGGGTCAATATTTAATTCAGGTTTTGGCTTGGATCACCTAGAGAAATGGAATTGGGGGAGAAAGCTCTCCTTTTAGAAATGCCCTATTTCTTGTTTACCTTGCCTTAGGCTTTGCGAGGGGAGTTCTTTCTGTAGACAAACTATAGACCATATTGCAGTGCCGGATTGTTCTCTCTCTACTATAAGTCATCCCTTTGTGACGTAATTTTTGAAGCCATTGCTCCGAATATATAAAATTAGTAGTACAAATCGGAAAGATAAGAAGCAGGGTTCGTTGATTTAAATCATGATTAAAATCAAATGATTTTTTTATAAAAAATCATTGATTTAAATCAACTGATTTTTATATATATATTATATTGATTTTAAAAGTTAAAAAACAGTGCTTTAAATTATTGATACTTTTATTATTTTCTTTTCTTAGTTTTAAAATTTATTTTAAATAAATTGCTGCATTGATTAATTTTAGTTCTTTCTTAAAGAACTTTAGTTCTTTACTTTCTTTCTTGGTGTGTGTTAAACACATTTGAAATTACATGTTTAAAAATCTTTTGATTCTTAACATTGAAAGTACAGATTAAAGTAAATATTTAATGCTGTCTTAATATAGACTTGCATAGCTGTAGAAAGTAAATAAACATGCTTTTTTTTCAAAAAGCAAATGTTAATTAAAATTCTACCTTTTGATTAAAAAAGCATGAAATTCAAATCTACATTATAGTTTATTGATGGAAATTTCTATATTTCTAAAGCTTGAGGTTATATTAAAAAGATATTAATGTGCCAAAAATAGAAAGAAAAAAAAAAGATGAGTTCAGATATTTTTTTCCTGATATAGTGCCATTCTTCCCTTTCAATGTCTATTTGAAGCAGTAGGGTTATTAACTGGTATTTTTTTCCCCCATAATATGTTTATGGTATCTTTGAAATTATCAGATTTTCTTTTGTGAAAAAGATTCCAATGTGTACATAGATTTTTTTAAAAATGTTTTTTAGCTTACCTTATGTATTTTGATATAGGATTAAAAATGAATATTTTAACATAAAAATATATAGATTGAATACTTATTTTTTGATGAATGACAACATTTATAAACACAATCTGTTGCACTTATTTTGCTGTTTTATAATTCATGAGAAAAAAAAAGAGATCACAATTTTAAATTAAAATTATGGCGTGCTAATTGAAACTTGGTGTTACTAGCTAAAATAGTATTCTTTAAATTATCTATTTTATCTTGTCTTTTAATTTCAATCATGCCATTGTATCAAAATGGTCGCTATGCATTATAATGAAAAATTATTTTAGTAAGTTAGAGCTTCTATATTGTTATAATATAGTTTTAATATTAATTTAATTTTGTTTAAACATTTATAAAGTTTTTTTAATCATAAATTAAAGCTCTTATAGTGTATTTGAATAAAAAAAAATAATCTGATTTAAATAAAAAAAATCCGATTTAAATCAAAATAATCCGATTTTTTTTATTTATTTTTTTTTAAAAAAATCAGAAAAATCCCGAACCCTGATAAGAAGTGGTTGATCAAATTAATACCAAAAAATATATTTATATACAAATTTACAGAAAAATGTATGCCTGGTACTAAAAGGAATTTTCTTTATAATTTAAAATAACCAAAAAGTTAACATAATTATTAAAAATTTCAGGAGAACCATCTTCAATAAAAGTCACATACAAAGTTGTTTGAACTTTCTTTTCTCATATCAAAAAGCATTAAAATAATAAATTTATTAAAAAGATATTTTTGTTATTCATTCATTTCGTAAAAAAGAAAAACACTTTATTACTACGTAATTATTTTGTATATACATTCAAAGAAATTCACATTTGAAAACTTTTAAAAGTAAAAAAGAAGACATATTATTTAAATTTTGTATTTACAATTTCTAAAAGGGATTTTTTACTAAGTATGCAATTTATTCTAATTTGCAAAATAATTTCAAAAGATTGGCAGCAGATAATTATTTTATTAAATACCTGAGCTATAACGGATAAGAGTCCAACAACAGCAATAAACAAGGCTACTTCATCAGCAGAAAAACCCATTATCTATAAATAGTTAAATTAAAATTAGCATTTTAATACTATTTCATTGGTTTATTGAAAAAGGTTAAATTAAAAAAGAAATTTAATAAACTTTTTAATATCACAAAGCTTAAAATAATAAAAAGTTTTTTTAAAAGAACTTCAGTTCTCTAATGCAAGTAAAATATTTGAACAGCAAAAATTTTAGGGCATTCAACGATTGGATTTTAAAATTAATTTTGACTCAGTTTTTCAATCTAAATGATCTAATCCATAATCAAAACAAAAAGATTATATATTGAAGTGAATCCTACAAAATACCTTTTCTTTATTTTTTTCATCTAAACATCGCATTTTAAAACCTAAGCAATTTTCATTGCATAAAAAATGGTCCTATTACATATTAATAAGTAGATCCAGAATTCTAGTGTATTAAGAATTAAACACCGGGAAACAACTTTCAAAAGATTAGTAGTAATTTTATATTTTCTGCATTACAGTTTCTGACATATGCAAATTTTTTCTCAATTCCTGGTTTTGAGACCACGAGTTCTTGACCTCATCGACAATCACCCTTTACATTTACATGCCACCCTTTACATGCCAAAAATTATTAGGGAATCAGTCCTTCAAATAATTTATGGAATTCAAAAAGAATCAATTCACTCAAACAATTCTTTAGAATGTAGGAAATTAGAGTGATACTTGAAGTGGTCAAGAACACATGAAATATGGTAGTTGGGTATGAAGACTACAATTGAGAAGAGATGCTTGTTCACTGCCCTACTCACAAATCTCTGTTTTTACTTTGTCAGATATAACATATTTCATATATTTAATAATTCCTGCAGTTATAACACTGATACTTAAAATTATAAAATGTTGTTTTAATTTTATATTTCTCATTATATGAAAATAAGTCAATAATTTTATTATAAATTGCTCATAAAATGCTTAGCATTTTGTATTAAAAGTAATGACTGTTAACATTAAAACTTACAAGTCTTAAATAAACAAAAAAACAAGAGTATTGGCCTGCTTCAGGTAGGTATGACAGGAAAACAGCAATAGAAAGCATCAATATCATTTTATCTTTTCCCATTTTCCTTAATTGCTATAAAAAAATCATAAAATAGAATTTATATAACTCATATATTAATATTAGAACAACATAAAAAACTATGCAGTTATTTTTTCCTTTTATTTCTTATATCATTTAAGCAATCTAAACTTTCATAAATTTGCATAAGCTACATAGCTTTTATCAGAAATAATAAATTGGAAATATATTTCTGCACATTAACTATGTAGCTGGTCAAACAGCACAGAATATATTCAGCACGAATAAGGCGTTTTATTAAGTAATTATTTAAATGCGTGATTTAAAATGTGCAAGTTGTAATAAAAATTCAAAATTCTTAAAACCAAGTGGGAATACATAAAAAAGCAAAGCGCTTCAAAAAAGAATTATATAAATGCACGATTTGAAGCTCGCATGTTGTAATAATATTGTAATGAAAATAAGGGATTTTCAAAATCACGTGCAAAAGCATAGCAATAACTACCTTTAAGGAAATCAAAAAAATTTTCCGATTTATGATGAAACTGGCAAAAATGAAGCATGTCAAAAAGTTATTAACTAAATGCACGATTTATAACTCACAAGTCCTAATAAATGTATCACTATTTTAAAAACCGCATGGAATTTGTCAGCTATAAATACCAAAAAAAAACACTAGAAACATCACTTGGAATTATAATGAAATTGGCAAAAATAATGTGAGTCAAAAAGTTATTACTCAAATGCGAAACTCGCACAGAGTAGTGTCATATTAAAAATTTTGGGTTTTTTGAAACCATACAGAATTTCAGAGCAATAACTGTTGAAAAATCAATCAAGAAACAACATAGATTTACAATACAGAGTTGGCACAGAAAGAAATGAACAAAGTTATCTCTTTTAGCAGACTAAAGCATTAAAATAGTTGCTGAAAACTATGAAAATAGTTGCCTAACTAAGAACAAAATTTTTTAAACAATATGACTAAAATTTTATTAAATGACTTAATTGTCATATACTATGATCCATTTAGTCAAGTTGGTGGCAAATGTAATAATTTTTATATAAACGTTAGTGTTCCAGCACTGAATTTTTATATGAAAAAAATTAGTACATTTGCAGAAAATTAAATACTTTTTCATTAAAAAAAAAAAAACATAATTCGACTAAAATTTTTTTCCTTTTATCAATAATTGATTGAGCAAATATATACATGCATACATTGTGAAAAGTGATTGCTCGAATTCGAAATTCACGCATCGTAATATGGTATCAAAAATTGTTTTTTTTAAAAATCATGCAGAATTTCGTCGCAATAACCGTTGAAAAAGACGATCTTGAAACAAAATTGACTTACAATGGAATCTGTGGAAATTGAGCTCATTAAAAAGTGATGACTCAAATTTGCCATTTAAAATTTTCACCATTTTTTATTTTTTAAGAAAAAATAATTAATTGTGTTTAGAAGCTCCCATTGGGCTGCAGATTGTCAACGTAATTTATGTTAAGAAAACTTCGCTAGGAGTACAGAAAAGTCCCACAATAGTCTCCTTTTTCTGAAAATAGTCGATTTCTTATCGTTTTTAGGCAAAAAAAAGTTGTTATAGTCATCTCGGGACGAATATAGTTACAAATAGTCACCTGTGGCAATCCTGATTCTGTGCTAAAATTTAGAATGAAATGCCAATTTTAAATTGATTTTTATATAAATATGGAAAAAAAATTGCATGTTATAGGATATAGTTAATATTTTCCTAATAACCTAAAATTAATAATAATAATAAAAAAATCTACTTTTGCAAAACACATGTAGCATCTAATTAGAGCTATTTTAGTTTAACTGCATAATTGTCTAATCTATTAGCTTTTTTTCTTACCATTGCCATAATTTTATTTTGGAAAATCATTAGACCTTATACACTAAAAATAGCAAATAAGAAAAGTAGCTTTATACATACTGCAAAGGGATCAGCATGCTCCCAAGATATTGGAGAACCCCATGAGGCAGGCCTGAATTTTTCCGGCAGTGATTCTGGTACAGCCACTAGTATGAAAAAAACATCCAGGATGGCTACGGCAGAAGCCAATGCAACCACTAAATTGTCATTATATAATTTTCCCAGGTATGCGCCTAAGGCTGGACTGGTGACTAAACTAGCTGCAAACGTTGCAGACACCTGCAAGTTATTGTATATAAAATTAGAAACATTTCGGAATACAAATAATCACACAGAGGCTATATTTTAGCTCTTAGGATTAAATGCAATTAAAACGAATGTAAAAAAACAAAAAAACTCACTAATCCATAAGCAGCACTTCTTTCTTGCTCCTCAGTCACATCCGCAACATAAGCAAAAACAACGGAAAATGTCACAGCAAATACTCCAGATATTGAAATCATTGCAAAATACCACCTACACACAAAAAACAACACATTACGAATGAGGAAGCATAAATATAGAGCATATAAAAAAACTGATAATTATTAAAAATAAATAAATAAATAAATGAATTAAAATTATCAATAACTCTGACCATAATCTAGCTAAATAATAACACAATTCTCTGATTCCTTTTTCATAACATAAAAAAATAAATAATAATAAGTGGAAAATTTGAAGTACCAAACAAAGAGCCTGGATTTTTAATCCAACACAAGACAAATTCCCATTGGTGATTTCTGAGTTAAAACATTAAAAAAATCATCCTTCAATTAATTCTTGCTTTTTAAACTAGCACCATAAAATTTTATTTATAGAGAAATAGTTTTATGCAAGAATGTATAGAAAAAAATTGAAGTTGGTTCATATTAAGCTATTAAAAAAAAAACTAGTCATACTATATTCATACAGCTATATGATATAGTAAAACCTTGTTCAATTGCTATTTTGTATTATATCAAACTTTGTTTATTGCCCTCTAAAAAAAGTATAGAACCGAGAAAGTTTTCTTCTCAATATTTATACAAAATCCTCATATATATTGTTTGTTAGATTGCTATGTAACTGTGATTAAAAATATCAAGCAATCAATTGCAAATAAAAAAGAGGAAAACATGTGAAACAAAAAACAAAACAAATAAGCTTGAAAGATTTCATTAAATCAAAACATTAATCATCAATTTCCTTAATAAAAATTCTAATTTATTAAAACCTGACCTTAATGATTTTCCATGGATTCAAAGCTTTCTTTGATAAGTTTTCATAGCGTATCAAAAGTTTACAATACAAAATTTAAAGGCAGTGTGGTTATTTTTAAAAGTATTAAAAAATATCACAAAAATAAAGAAGGAAAAATATAAGAAAGAAATGAAAGTAAGATTAAAAAGAGGTTTGAAATAGCAAATCCAAGAAGGAATCTTTTTCCAATAAATTTTTTTTATAATATTTGAGTTATAAGAAAATAAAGAGAAAAATGTTTATCACAAATAAAGTTTTATTACAGAAAGTAACATACTTAATTCCAAGAGTATCCACAGTTCAAAACATTAATATAATGACAGTAAATATTTTTTTTTAATGTGAAAAAGATCAATTAGAAAAAGTGATACAAACCATGTATTAATTTTCATCAGTGGAATAGGAGCACATGTAAAGAATACAGTAAGTAAAAGAAACAACTTTCGTCCCCAAACATCTGACAAAGCTCCAATTAAAGGGGCACTTAAAAAAGATAAAAGACCCTAGAAATAACAAAATAAACTCAGATTAGAATTGTTTATTTTGTATCGCTATAAATAAACTTTTCTTGTAAAATTATTTGAAACAACTTACAAATATTAAACCATAATTTCTAACAATTTGTTTTTAATCATTCACCTCAATATAAATAACAAGCATCAATCTATAATTTCTTTAAAGGGACCTATTTTTGAAATTTTGAGGGGGAAAAAAAATGGCATTTGGCCAAAAATTATTTTTGTCAATTACTGGGGTTTCATTTCAACACAATATAGTTTTTTTTATTACTAAAAACACACTTATGTAATACTACATGAACATTTAAATACTGAAAAAGTACATCACACATTCTTCTCTTGTAAGTTATTTACTTTTTGTTTTAGATTATTTAAATGAACTTTTGTTACATAAAATTGCATTGTTTCATATGCATGAAAATTAACTTCTTTGTTGCAGGAATTCAAACAAAATGAAATATCAAAAACATTTATATAAAAATCCATTTATATAGTTAAATTTATGATAGATGCTTAATTTTAGCTTAAATTTTAAAAAAGGGTTGCTTTTTGAGGCTTAGATTTTTGTGATGGGTCTTCACACTTATTTCTTCCTAGATTGAACCTCAAATATAATTATTTGGTGTGTATTTTAATAATGAAATGTAAATTGTAAAGTAGATATTTTAGAAAGTTTTTAACTATTCAAAAAAAAAGACTAAGTGGATTTATATACAAACCTTTATACCGACAATAAGACCATTCATTAAAAATGTGTGACTGGGGAATGTTTCATTTAACACCTAAAAAAAGGAAAGATAATTATAATAAAAAATAGACATTTATGCTAAATAACTATTTATAACTATCTCCCAAGTTTATATTTAAAAATATTTTACAGCATAATAATATTTCAGTAGTTTCTTACTATATTGTATTCAATATAGAAAAGATGCATTAAAAGCAATATATTAACTTTTGTAACTAAATAATCTACAATGGTAAATTTTATTCTTTTAGGAGTATAAAATATGTGGCCTTCCATTTCAACTAAAAATGTATTAAATTACATAAAAATCTATAATTACTTTTCAAACTAATCACAATAAAAAAAACAACAACATAGAAATATCATTACAAGTATAAAATGCAGAAATATCAAATTTAGTGTTAAGATTTAATTTTTCACCTTATTGAATTCAATGAAAGAAAATGTTTTTGACTAAAACATAAGCAGCTATAGGATTTATTTAAAAATTTAAGATGTAAGTAATTTATATATTATAAAAAAATAATGGATTTTTATTTTCACTAGGAAAAATTAAAAAAGGCTTCAATTTACTTTTATTAATGGAGTAACACTGCAATTTTTTATTTTTTTTCAAATTTCAAAATAGTATAAATATTAGGGTGGTCGAAAGATGGCACCCTCTAAAGAAGTGCAATCTGCAATAACACTAATATTTCAAAAGTTGTAACAAATATATATATATATATATATAACGTCGTTGCCGAGCAGAAGGAATAAAACAGGTCTTAGGCAGGGATGGAGGGTACAAAATTTATTAATTAATTATTAGACAGAGATCAGCTATAAAAGTGGTCAAGAAAAATTGTGTTCTTCATTATAAGTTAGGGAAAATCTTGCAAAGTAAATCTGTAAAATGTTTCATTTTAGGGAATAAGGGAAATCTTAGTGATTGTAATTTGTTTATTAAATAGGTTGTCCGACTCCCACAAAGAGCAAAGGGGGAAATGTCCAGTTTTTAATTAATGCATGCTTGAGCCAAAAATAGAGTTAAGGACAGGATGTAAATTTAAAACTGTGAGATAGTGTTTCGATTAGAGTAATAAAATAAAAGGATTTCCAGAAAAGAATAAAATAAAAAGATTTATTTAAGCTTTTTATGTTACATCCCCCCTTGCTGAAAAATTTTAACTATAATCCAAAAATTTTAAAAATTATTATCTATTTGCAAAATTTTCCCTCTGATAGAAGCACAATTAAAATGAAAAGAATAAAATTTGTAATTTTAACAATATATAAAAGTAATATGAATTATAAAGAAACATACACATTTAAACTCATGGTAAAAATTTAACACAATTAAAAATATGCAGTGACATTATCAGCAAATTTAAGATTTTCATTTTCAACAGTTTTTATGACTTAACAGTTTTTTCAGTTCCAAATCTCTTGTTTGAAGATCACAACTAAGTTTTTTCACCATAATATTCCTCATCATAAAAACAAATTTAAGTCAACGCTTCAATCATGATAAAAATTTATAAACATTTTTAAAAATTTGTAAGTTAAAATGTAAAACACATAATACAAAAAATAGTTCTACTGGAAAAATTTCAGTCTAAAATTAAACTTGAGTATTGTTTACCCTGTTTGAAAACAAAATAAAATAAGAAATGACACAGCAGTTGTTATTCTGAAGTCCAAGACTTCAGTATTGTCTTACTTCACTTTATTTATTATTAACCTTTCATATTTATCACTTTAATAGCACAATACTCGAATTTGTCTTTTTTTTTCCTTCTATGTCCAAAAATTTCCTTTTGTAAAATTTTTTCTTTTCTTTTTCTCTCTTTAATTTTTCTTTCTACTTTCTATATTTTTTATACTTTTATTTTCTTTCTTGGTATTTTTATTGCAGTCATTAACCCGGATTTCAGGAAAAATGAGAAAGGACAAATCGCTTTTTTAAATTTAATTGCTTTACCCAAAATTGGGTCGGCTGTTCAAGGATGCTTATAAAATATAGATAAGTTCAGATTAAAACTCAGCATTGCAGTTTTCCAATTGGCATATTTTGAAGAAAAAGTGAAGAAAAAAGAATAAAGTCTAATTTAACCCCTCTTAATTGCCATGTTTTATTAAAAAATAAAAAGCTAGAAAGAAACCAAAAATCATTATTAATGTATTAATGAAAAATTCAGAACAAAATATAAATTTAACTTAATTGAATTTGAAGAAAAAAAACAGCAGGATAACTTTCATAAGAAACACTTTTAAGAAAATGCTGTCATAATAAAAAATGTTGATATAAAACAAAAGTTCACAAAAAAAATCAAAAGATAGAAAAAAATTGTTCTTTGTTCTTAAAAGATAACTTTATTGTTGACACATTTATGTTGCTGCCTGTTTTACCCTACAGGAAAAAATAAGAAAAAAAATAAATCTATTAGAAATGCTCAGTTACAATGCTGAGCTATAATAAGAACAGAAAATAAGAGAAAGGAGAAAGAAAAAAAGCAAAACAAAAGTATTCTTAATATTTAAAATAAAAAGTGGTGAAAAAATGATGAAATTGACTTTCTCAAATATAATTTTTTAAAAATTAAAAAAAAATAAATCATCTGTACAAAACTCATGGTTCAGTATCAAGTAATCTATTTTCAATTCTTCAAATTTCGTTTTTCCATTTGTCTATCAGAACACAAATTTGCAAGTTTTAGAACTTAAATATACACAATAACTATTTTTATTAATGTATAGTAAATAATAAGATTTTAAAATAATCTTAGTCAAATCAATTCAAATTAAAAAATAAAAAACTTTTTTGAATATTTGTTACATCTCTAGTTAAGGGAAAAGTAAACCAAAAATTAAATCATCACAATGTTTCAAATTATTCACACAATCATTTCACATAAGAAATCATTGAAATTTCTAAAAAATAACACATCTTGACAATATACTTACAGTTATCATTGGTGATGTTAAGAGACCCCATGCAAAGAACTCCAAAAATATTACCACCAATGCATGATATATACTTGGTTCTCCAATACCTGAAGACTAAATGAAATAATAGTTATGAAATAGTTAAAACTATAACAAAAAAAAAATCATTATTTTTTCATTATCTTACTACAACCCAAAACTACATAAAAGATCTAAAACAAGCTATAATTGTTTTGAAAAAATAAAACCTTATAATATTTTAAAACAGAAAAAAAAAATTACCTAGTAATTACCTACAGTAGGTGGGTACTAAATATAGAAGGCTTTCATACTAATAAGAAATTCTTTAAAATGTATATCAAGAAAATTAATTTTCATAAAATCAAATTAAATTTTTTAAAATAATCTGAAGTTGTGTTACAAATTAAAAATGAAATATCTAGAACTGTGCAATCAAGTTCAATTGGGCCGGGATAGCCTGGTCAGTAGGGCGCTGGGTCACTTATGGCACAATCGTCTGGTGGTCAAAGACTAGATTGAGCTCCGCAAGGTCTAATCTTAACAGACTACAAAGAATGGTCTGTGTAGCCCTGTCAGGCTGTCTCAGGACCACTCCTACAGCTGCTCTAGAGAGCTTACTTGGGCTTCTTCCATTGAACTTGAAGCTCAGACAGTCGTAAAGCGTCTTATGTACCTTGGCCTATGGAAAGAGTATTCCAAACACTTGTCATCTTGTTTCACAAGTGATGGATTTATCCTCTTTTATTATGCCTAGTGACTATATGTCACTAGGATACGCTTTTCACAAGCCCTTCAAGATCCATTTTCCTACTAGAGATGAATGGTTTAATTCTCCTCGGTGGCTTAAAGGCTAATGCCTAATATGGTACACTGATGGTTCAAAGATTGGTGCCAAATCAGGAGCAGGAATTTATTTCTCCAATGACGGTACTAAACTTCACTTTCCCCTGGGAAACTATGCCACCGTTTTTCAGGCTGAGGTCTATGCCATTATCTTGTGCTGCAAGTTATGCTTAGACAAGGGATATCAAAATACGACTATCCGCATCTGTTCTGACAGTCAGGCTGCTCTCCTATCACTGTCAAGGTGTAAATTCACCTTTTTGTTAGTGTGGGAATGCTTCTCGGTCCTCTGTGACCGGTCTGCTCATAACAAGGTATCCCTGCATTAGGTACCAGAACATATGGGTATTGGTGGAAATGAGCTAGCTGATGAAGCAGCACGGGCTGGCTCCAATGCAATTTTCTGGGGCCCAGAACCTGCGCTGGGAATTTCTTCCTCCTCATTTAGGGCAACCATTTTTAAGCTCTACGGCAAGATTGCCCATGAGCAATGGCGCGCTGCTGACGGTCACAGACAAGCTAAGGAGCTCTTAAAGCTTAATAGAAACAGTATAAGGAAGATCATAGGTCTTCTTACTAATCACTTTATCCTCAGGAGACAGCTAAACATTATGGGAATAGAATCCAATTCTCTTTGTCGGGGATGTCATCTAGAAGAAGAGACATCACGACACATACTTTGTGATGTCTAGTCTGCTCAAAGATTTGAGCATCTAGGGCAGCATTGCGTCAATGCCTGGGAACTGCAAGATGTTCTTATAAGGTGCTTGCTGAACTTTATTTCAGCTATAGGGCTTTCTTGCTAATCACGACTAGGGTTTGGGTACAATAGACCTCTGGTCCATGTGCCCTGCTCGTCAGAGCTGCCCAACCTCTAAATCTAAGGGCGCTGGGTCCATGTCCGAACCCCGCCGGTCGAAGACTCCCTGGATAGTAAAGTGACTGATGCACGTTAAATCTGCCGAGTCGCAAAAGTCCTCCATGTTCCCTTAACAAATCAAAACTTCTGGGGGTACTGGATTGGAGATTGATCGTTCTCTGATTCAGGTCTAAATTACCATCTGTGGATGAATGAATGGGACCGCCCCATAAACTGGTGTGATGCATGGTGTGGTAGAAGTCGAATTCTTGGCCATAGACGGCACCACTGGAAAACAAGAACTATTGCACCCCCTCTGCCTAAACAGGCATATGTCAACAACAACAGTTCAATTTCTTTTACTCTTTTGTAGTAAGAACAAAACTGTTAAACTGATTTTAATACCCTTTCGACTTTTAGAATAATATGGGTAAACTGTCAAAATAATAAATTAAATGAAACATAGCTTGTTAAATTTAAAACATTAGTAACTTTAGATCACTTATAAATTTTCAAAGTATACTTTAAAATATTTTTTTTTTCTTCCTTAATGGATGCTTTTTAGAATTATATATATGGGAAAATGTTAGTGTAATTATCTTAAAACCATTTATTACCTTAGAAATTTTTTTTTTTTTTCCTTTTCCTCTCACTATTTAAAATCCTTTATAACAGAACTGATAATGCATTGACGTAATCGTTATTTTACTTAAAATATTTAAATACAAGTTTCTAAAACTTGAAATAACTAAATACAAATGATTTTTATTAATGCTATAGGCATTAATGTTTATTTAAATTCTGGTTAGAACTTTAATACACTGTAGAAAGGATAAATAAATTTTTTTGTTGTTGCAAAATATCCATTTCTTTTATTACTTGAATTAGTGTTAAATTTAATTATTCAGTAAATCATCTGTAAAATATTTTGTTTAAAAAGAACCTTTAATTAATAAATTTTATACTTTATTTTTATAGCAGAAGCATTAAGTTATGAAAAAATAAAATTAAAGTTTTATAACTTTTTTATATCACTCAAATTATGTTCTTAAAGTCAGAGAGATAAAATGTATACTTTCATAAAGTAATCAATAAGGCATAATATAAGTATGAAAGATTGAGATGTTTCATTAATTTTTATTATTTCAAATTACAATGGCCTTCAGGAGCCTAATTTCCTTGGTCTTTATTTGTTTACCTTAAAAATACATTGAGATTAAGATGTAAAATAAATAATAATTCTGAGTACCATTGCTTTGTATGATAATAAATTCTACTGATTTAACAGCAAAAAAAATTCTAAACAAGATTGAAGAATCACTTCCTCATGTAATGTGAATGAAATTTTTTTTAGACAAGTAAAAAAGTAAATTATTGCTGATTATCTAATATTTAACAACACCAAATAAAAAATAAATATGAAGTAAGCTATCACTTGGATACGTTAAGGAAAAGTTTAAAGCACAATTATTTTCATAACAATTTAAGAACTAGGCATATTAAAAAAAATATTTAGTGCTATATATAATTATTCCTTAAATTTCGAAGTAATATTTCAATTTAAACAATATTAAAAGAAAACGACGCCTAAATAAATAATCTTCGTATGCTTAATAGGCAGAAAAAATAGTTTTTGTCGCCGTAATCCGATTAGAAACTTATAAAATTAATGTATAAACTTCGGGAGGTGGGGAAAAACTAGTTAAGATATCGCGTTTTTAATAAAAAAAATTATAAAGAAAAATGAATTTAATTTTATTAAGACTGTTCCATTTTATTTGTAACTTTTAAGACATGCCTTCGAATACTGTAATAAAACAGAATTTGTTTATATAAAGAAGAAACAATACAGTTGAAAAGGTTCTTCTCAACTTACTATAAAACCATCCTTCATAATGGTTTTTCTACTTCTCAAGATTATTCCTGCAACTTTTTTGGACACCTTAGGGGGCATTTTAACATTTTATGCTTTCGTGGAACTAATTTGTAGGTTATTAAATTTCATGCCTATTAACACTTTCCAAAGCAATCAATGCTAGCACAGCATTCAGCACATAAGTAAAATAAACAACAAAATCCACAGCAATTACAAAACATAAATCGAGTAGAGATGTCTCAACGTACTAAAAAAATTTTCAAGCAATGTTCTCACTTGTCAACCTGATCACAAACTGAACCTGAGACAAAATTTCAAAAATGATACTTATTTATAAATTTTGAACAAAGAATCTAGAAAGACAAAAGTTTATTTAGTTTTATAGATAGTTTATATAGCTCCTCGAACTATACTTTAACACTAAAATAAAAAAAATGACGAAGGAAATTGCCCCAAATAGAAATAACGGGTATTGAAACTAGTACAAGTTGGAACAAGTACAAAGTCACAGTGATTTCGTTAAAAAAAATCTTGTTTTCTTTTCGTGCTTATGACTGTTCAGTCGTTTGAATGTGATAGTAATGTTTGATTAAATATTTTATTTTAGGTGTTCATAAGTATTTTTAGATGCGCAATCGCTTAATGAAGTGCAAACAAAGCGAACAGTTTGAAATTGAAGCAGATATTTCCCTAAGAAGAAAATTGCAGTTTAGATTTTCAACTTGAAACTGGAGTTGGCTCTTTTGTTTACATATGAAAACAATTTCTTAATGTTTTAAATTTTTATTTTTTTCGTGTGTCAGTCAAAGTTGATTAGGTTTTAATATTATGGGTTCCAAATTCTGATGAAATGTATGAATCGCCAGAAACATTGCAACAATTGTGTCTTAACTTTATTTGTCAAAATATTAGCTCTGTGTGTTCTACAATTGAAGATCTTAATGCTAATACATTAAAATATGTTTTCAACAATCCTTTCATGTGCTTTCCGCCTGCTCTATCCCAGCAGTTGTTTCAAAAATTTGACGAGCAAACGTTCACTGACCAATTATTGACGATTTTTGATTCGTCTGTAACTAGATTGAGTCAAGTTTACATTCAAAATGCTTCTAAACTGACTACCAAAGGTTTGCGTATTTTGAGATCTCATAAAATTTCGGAACTTGCTGTGATTAAACTTACTAACGTAACTGTTAATGAATTAATTGGTTGTTTAGATGAGTGGACTTTAAAAAATCTTCGTATATTAAATGTGTCTAATAGTAGCTTTGTAAACAGTGAAAAAGTTCGTGTCGTCATCGCTTTGTCTAAGCTTGAAAGTCTACGTGTTTTGGATGTGAGTAATACTGATTTCAACAGTCAAGGGTTAGAAATTGTAGCGGACTATTTAAAATGTTTAGAAAGCTTGAATATATCGAAAACCAAGGTTTCGGACATAACTCCTTTAAAAAAGTGCAAAGAACGTTTAAAATATTTAAATCTTTATGGTTTAGGTATATATAACTCCAAATCATTGCCAGTTATATTTAAGCTTTACGAATTACAGCACCTGGATATATCAGAAGATAAAGATGATCATTTGCAGATTTTAGAAATACCTATGGGTTCAGCTACAATTACAAAAGCACAATTGTGTGAATTTATAGAAAATCCCAACAGTTTGCCAAAGTTACAATCACTAGATATATCTGGAAATAGTAATATTGACATTAATTCTTTAAAGTAAGTGTTATCTATGTTATATGGAGGCATTAATTTTGTTACATATGTTTACTGTTAATCTTTCTTTATATTTAAATTCTAACTTGATTGTTAAATTTTTCGAGCCTAAAATTTTCATCCTTTTCAATCGAGTATATGATGACCTACATTTCACCTTATTTTTCCAGGGAGTTATTCTCAATAAAAATCCATTTCTGTGGGTTTTTATTGGGTTTTACTTACTTATAAACCAGTTTTATTTTTCTCATCGTACACACCTTGACGTGAAAATTTGAGCTTTCAGTTAGTAGCCTGTGGTCTAGTGACTAAACTCTAATAACTTAGTGGCTACTTTTTCCTCAAACCTGATGAGTCGGTTGGTCCTTTTAAATTAATGGCCACTTTTTGCTTGGATTAAATTATATTTTTTAAAAAAAATTCAAATTAGAAAAGAAATCTATGACTATAAAAGATAATTCTACAATAAAAATAATATAAACATGTGACAAAATTTAGTTAAACATAATGACTTTAAAGAACTTTATTTAATAATATTTGGGGTGGCAAAATACATTTAATGTCAAAATTACAATTTTTAAATATGTGAATTGTTAGAGAATTCTCCTTCCACATGAATCCTTTAATCAGAAATTAACAGAATCTTTTCACCACAGTTGATTGATGGATGGAATATTTTCACCACAAATTTAAGGAACAAAGTTTTGAATGGGGACATTGGACATTTTAATAAAAATTCTGTTTTACTGTGTCTGATGTATGTTGATTATACCTATTGATGTACTATTATCATTAAGTGATTTTTAAAAAAAGTTTGGGGAAAAGTGATTGGTTGTTTATTTAAATTAAATCTGAAATTTGTTGTTTACTTGCGGCGAGTGGTTATTTTTAGGTCTGTATACCTGATTGAAAGTGGGTTTTTATTTTTTGGAGATCTGATATTAGGCTTTGAATCTCCAGGGCTTAAAATTAACAGTTGGCCTGGGGCTTAACTCCTGTTTGGACTGCTATAAAATTTTTTTTAACAGTTTCCTGAGTTAAGAATTGATCTTTTGTCAGTTGAATATCAAAAAATGATACGTTGATTTGGTTTTTCGTTAATTAGTTTGGTCTGTTTTTGTCACTAAATGGCATTACTTCATCATAATTGTTGAAATTATACATTCTTTATAATTTTTTTAAAAAAATCTAATTTTATTTTAATAAAATTTTTTTTAAAACTTTTACTATTAAAACTAATAATCTATTTAGGGAATATATATAAAATTAGCCTGTTTAGTGAAGCATATTGATTAAGTTTTGATTTACATGAAACTTTATTCGAATAATTAGAATGTAAAACTTTTACTTTTTTATTTGTTCCATTTATTTTGTTTCATAATTTTTTTAATCAAATAAACACAGGCAGATGGATCAAGAAACATGTGTGAAGAATAATGAAATTTTTTAATTACTAGTCCTGGTGATAGTTTTTTAAAAATTTCTATCCTAGCTGTTGAAACAGCTCTTTTAATTATATTTGTTAAACTTCCAAGTATTAGATTCCTAAACAAAATTCTCTAGTAAATTTTTTTTTTATGTATTACTTATTCATTCATTGATATGAAAACCATTTTTTTCATGCAGGAAAATCACTAGTTAAAAGTTTTGTAAAAGCCAAGATTAACATTGAGAGGGTTAAGCAAACTATAACTATTTTGAAATAATGTGTGAAAAATGTAATAAATTTGGGTTTGTGTTTCAGAATATTCTTATCCAATCACTTGAAAATAAAATTCCTTGGTTTAATGGAAAATGACATTTGTCAAGATGATATGTTTTCCAGATCTTGCAATCCAAAGCTTGTGGTAAGATAACATTACTATAATCTTTTTATGTTTTATCACCTCATTCTGTTCATATTTCATTGTAAAACTTCACAATTGTTGAAACTTGTATTACTTGAATAATAATTTAATTCTAATTTCTTTAGATTGTCGAAAAGTAGCTGTACATTTAAATCTACATAATGGAGTTTTATATGAACATTTTTTTACTGTTACCATTTTTATTAAAAGTATAAAATGTCTAAAATCGAAGCTTATGTCAGCACAAGTGTATATATTAGTATAATAGTGTATTTTAAGACATGTTTTTTAAATTTTTTTTTTAATAGGATTTACGTGCTTTATCTTTGATTAATAATGACATTTATATTGGAGTTAAGATCTATTTGTAAATTCTGACACAAAATGCCAATAAGGAATTTGTGTTTGTTACTCTTGCACAGCTAATCTTATCATTCTTAACTTGATGTAAAATATTTCATACTTAAAAATGATATGATGATATTCTTACATCATTTCATGTGTTTAATTTTTGAATCAGGTTACTGGCTATGCTACGCAAGTTCAAGTTTTAGAATCCTTGAAAAGGTACATGCAAAGACAATCATATTTACAGAAATCTCTTTGTTATTTATACTCGGATCTTCAAAACTTATCTGAACCACGTCTAGACATTATAAAGGTTTGTATAGCTCTTTTATAGTTCTGTATGTCATTAAAATTATAATTTAAGTCATATATAATTTGATTATTCTTTATACAGCTGTCAAAAGAAGTCTTAATTTTTGAACAAAAAATGATTTGTAATTTGTTAATTTTTGAAGAAAAAAAAGAAAAAACTTGAAGAATTTAAAGATATTAAATTTTTTTTCTTATTTAATTTAATAATAGACATTTTATAGATATGTTATTGTAAATTTTGCTGACAAATTAATCATTCTACTTAAATTTTTGATTTGTTATAAGTGATGACTCCTAATGAAATATATTTGATTCAATCTTTTAGAAATGTATTTAATTTAATCTGAAACAAATATTTTTGATAATTCATTTAATGTTTTAAAACTAGATTTGTGTCATCTTAAATATTTATTGTAGTTACAATCTTTTTAAAATTATGAGCGTGTTTATTTTATGTTGATAAAACCACAATTTTTAAAAGTTTCTAATGGTCTATATTTAGGATTAGTTTCTTTATAATATGTCTATTAATGCTATTTTTTAGTAATACTACTTATATTCTTACATTTGAAATTCATAAAAAAGGTAAAATTAAGGAGATAGGAATCATGCCTTTTTTATGGCAGCTGTCTTATTCAGACTAATTTTCTAATGAGTTTAAAGAAAAAAAATTACATATTGCTATCTAAAAACAGGGTGCATCGTGTTTTTAAAAAGTGCTTGAAATTGCTTATTTTTGGTTTTATTTTTTGAAAGCTTTTAAAGATGCATATTTTTTATGTGTTTGTGAAAAAAATGCTTTATTTTCTTTGCTTGTGCTTTATTATATTTTTTCCAAAAAGAGTTTTTTTTCTTTATCATGACAAAAAGCATGGTTTTTACCGCTGCGTCATTTAAATTGCTGTTCTTTTCTGCGCACCTGTGTCCATATTGTGAAGAAGGCTGATAGTTTTTACGTGCTGGACGAAATACTTGCAGGTTCGCATCTGAATTTGTTGGAAAAGATTCCTACAGTCACTTGTGTAATTTGCTGCATTTTGGGAGAGACTCCAGATTTTAGGCTTGATATCCTGTTCTCTAAATTGACTCAAAATTTTGTTGATCACAGGGACCAACTAGACATCAACAAATATTTTCCCATGTGGCAAAATTTTCTTTTCTTGGTTGTTTCTTTGTTGGTTTAGGGCCATTGTTTATGTCACAAGAAAGCTTATGACATTCTTACACTGTTCTTCTTTTTGGATCAGTAGCACTCTCTCTGAACTTGACTTAGGGATCATTTACTGATTAAATATTTTCATGTGGTTCCAGAGCAGTTAAAAATTTAATGAGTTTCATTACTTTAAAAATTTTATTTGCCTTTTTTTCTATTTGGATAAAAATAAATTACAATTTTATAATAACGAGAGCTTATATCAGAGAAATCATCCTCTAGTTGTGTAGAGTATTTTAGTCTTTTTATTGTAGTCTTATTTTACTGAATTCGCTCTTAAATTTTTCAACACTCTTGAGATATTTATGGGGAAAAAGCGCTATAATTTTTAGAGACAAAATGTTTAATAAACACTTTTAATGAACTAATTACTAGTCTGGGCCTGTATAATAATTTACTTCTGCCGAAAATGTTTATTGTAATACTCACATTTTGTTTTAATATTATTGAAACTAATTTTTACCATTTGTGTAAAAAAATATTGAACGAAATTACAGATTTTTATAATAATTTAAAAGGGTGTGTCATTAATTTTATTTCACTAATTTTTCACTGTTTTTTATTTTTAATATGAATTTCTTTAAGTTTTCTTTGCCTGCTTAAAATTGTCTACATATCTTTATCAATTCAGTATTATCAAAATATATTCTTATAAATGCTTTTGTTTAGTATACGTATGCAATTTTTATTTCAAATTCTAAAAAAAAAAAAAAATATTTCCAATTCTTAATTTAAAAAAAGACATCTGTTATCTTTTTTTTAAAAATTAAAGTGTAAGTAGCTGTAATCTTAAATTCTTTTAATTTTTAATTTAAAGTATAGAATAAAGACTAGAATATAACGCAATAGATTATTAAATAATTTTATGTATATATATCCGTATGTTTATATAAATCCTTATTTTTTGTTGAAAAATTTGGTTATACACATTTTAATCATTGGTGATAAGTGTGACTGAATTGTGTTATTTTAAATATTGATTTTACTGTAATGTTTTTTCATGTGCGTCACGCAACACTGATTTTGTAGATTTTGATTGTGCTTTAAATTTTTTTTGCGTGTGTTCTAGTGCATCCTCATAAATATTAGTTAAAATTTTTAAAATTGACACTTGTATTTAATAAATCAATAAATATCAATATATATATATCATATACATATGTACTCAAGTCTTTTCAGCCAATATTCTCTGAATAAATATACATAAATTCATTTTGTGTCTGGTAATGTTTGGCTTGAAATGGTTTCTCTACCTTTCATTTACGCCATGCTGTCTAGTTGCTTATGATATAACATAGAGATAATATATATTTATCTTAATTACATGATTGTAATTTTAAAAAAACTAAATTGAATTTATTTTATAGAATTCAGTTGCATTCAATATTTATTCTCTAAAAATGTCTTCCATTCTCAAATTTGAAGAAATTTTATTCAAAATTAAAATCTGTTTGCATTAGTTAAAAAATCAAAACATGTGAGCATTTTAATTTTAAAATCAATAAATAGAATTAATGTTGTATCTAGTTATTAATATTTATTTATGAAAGCAATATTATTTTTCTTTATTATTTTGTATCACAGCTTTAATTTTTTGAATCAATACTTGAACTACTCTGAAAATTTATTATTAAAAAGAAGAAAAAAAAGAAATATTATATGTAATTTATTTTTGTGTATTCAACAGCTTGTACTTCGAGGTATGAAAAGTTTCCCAGATGTGTTAGGAATCCAAATGGCTGCTACAGCATGCTTATACAATCTTACTAAAGTTAGCACTAGATTACATACACATTGGCTGAGGAAAGTTGTCGAATGCACTCTTTCTGCAATGGAAAATTTCCCTAATCAGAAACAAGTAAGAGTTGAATAGTTAATGTGGCATAACCTTTTTGGAAGGATGGCCACCGGGTAATAATGTGTATGCACCAAATAATGTGTATTTTGAGTAGCCCAGCTATGTAAAAAATTATTATGCTAGTTAAATTAAATTAATTACTCCTATAAAAATAAGCTAAACTAATTCAATTTTCTGAAAAATGTGAGGCATTATCCTATTTAAATTTAAAAAAATTCTGATAAAAACTTATAAAACAGTGCAGTATATAAATAATGTATAAATTACATCTTTATAATGTATAGATTAAATCTTTATTTTTTAACATAAAACCTTGATATGCATTTGTTTTAAAAATTTTATAAATACGTAAAATTTCGTAAAATGTTTCTAATTTGAAAATAAAGTTATAAAATTAGGGTTTCTTTGTTATAATAAAGATGTTATGTTTGAGTTCATTAAAAATTTTTGTAGGCATCTTTAAATTAATTTTTGTTTAATCTAGGGCATGAAGTCTTATTTAAACTAATCAAGGATTGTAAGAGGCTCTTAGGTCGAAAGTTCTGCATCCATGATTTAATTAAAATTATTTAAGCATGGATGCATTAAGATGCATTACGTTTTCTACCATTTTATTATTAATATGTAGGGGGATTATAAGAAGGTGTTTTCTTTCTCTTAAAAAGCTGAGTCATATTATATAAAATATCACAGGAATTTATCCAAGACCATTATAATTTTTTCTACAATGTTCTGAGAATCGGACCATTTATGTGCTTTATTATCTTTGGTGTAGCTTTTTTTTTATCATTCATTCCAAGTTAGTCAATCAGTCTAAAATTTAAAAAAAAAATATATAAATATTTTCATGGGAAAAACATTTTGTATAAAATTATCATTGCAATCAAACTGTTATAGTATTTCACATTAAAACTGTTATTCTGTACACAGTAGTTTTCTTGTAATCTAATTTTACCGTAACTCTATTTTATTTATTAGTATAATTTAAAAATTAATTTACTATACATGGATAGCTATCTTTTTCGATAATTTCTTTTGCTTTTTCCGTGCTATATCATAGGTATGTGGGAATACAGTGTCCCCCAAAAGAAAAGCAATCACCCTGAATATCTTTTAATCTAATGATCAGATTTTTACTTACTGGGACTCAATTTTATTAGTTTGAAGGCCTAACTTTAAATGGGCTAATTAATTTGCTCTTACAAAAGCAGACTCAAAATATACCTTTTCTGCACCTTTATTGGTCGAATTTGGATTCTTGACCATCTAAATAAGGGGAGTAGTTGTAATCTGGGTCCCACTAGTTTAGGTAAGAGAACTGTTGAAAATTTGGACCTCGCACTTTTTTTTTGTATTTTAAGCTATATCTCAAGAACTTGTTAAGCTAATTAAAACAGTTTTTTAACTCAATTATAAAATTAATTTAACTAAAGATAGTTTCATGTAAAAAGATTTTATTATTTGATAACAGTCAGAGAGATTTTGAATTGTATGTTATACACATTTTTATATCATTTTAAAATATGTAATTTTATATGGAAAAATGGCAAGATTAGAAAAAAAAAGGGTAAAATACTTCCTCATAACTCGGAAAGGGTTTAGGTAACGATTGCAACTTCCCTACATTCTGGACTGCTAGCTAGAAAAAGAGCGTAACACCTGGAAGTAATTATTTTATCCTTCATTTAACACATGGATCAATAAGTCCCGAGACTAACAATGAAAACAACATTTTTTTTGCAAAATTTTTTTTTATTCATCAACATAATCACCTTTTAGGGTGATACAATCGTTCCAACGCTTTTCCAATTTTTCAATACCATGTTTATAAAAAAAATTATCTTTCGCTTCAAAATAAGCTTCAGTTTCAGCGATGACCTCCTCATTTGAGCCAAATCTTTTTCCCTGGAGCACTTTTTTAAGATCAGCAAAGAGCCAGTAGTCACTGGGGGCTAAATCTGNTGGATTCTTGACCATCTAAATAAGGTGAGTAGTTGTAATCTGGGTTCCACTAGTTTAGGTAAGAGAACTGTTGAAAATTTGGACCTTTCACTTTTTTTTTTGTATTTTATGCTATATCTCAAGAACTTGTTAAGCTAATTAAAACAGTTTTTTAACTCAATTATAAAATTAATTTAACTAAAGATAGTTTCATGTAAAAAATAAAGTTTAATAATTATTTATCAGATTTTATTATTTGATAACAGTCAGAAATTTTGAATTGTATGTTATAAAATTTTTTATATAATTTTAAAATATGTAATTTTATATGGAAAAATGGCAAGATTAGAAAAAAAAGGCTTAAATACTTCTTCATAACTCGGAAAGGGTTTAGGTAATGATTGCAACTTTCCTACATTCTGGACTGCTAGCTAGAAGATGAGCGTAACACCTGGAAGTAATTATTTTATCCTTCATTTATATTAAGTTGATTCTAACAACCTAAAATAGCCTTAACACTTAATTGAAAAGGAATATAAATAAATGAAAGTTCTTATTTGTAACCTACAAATGATATCGCCACCCAGCAAACACACGAAGAAGTGTAAATAATAGATTCCCACTATGAATAATACTACAATATTATGGGTAGTGTGATATTTGATTTTGTTGATCCACAGATTTTCATGAGATATATTTGTTTCAAACTGTTATAGCACAATACTTGATTTGAAGTAGTTTCTCACAAATTGTAAAAGATTAAAAAAAAAGTTTTTTCTAGTATAATTTTGATATTTATTAGAACTGTAAGTTTTATTAAACTTTTCTGTATGAATTATACATTTCTTTGCTATGTTTTTTTTTTCAGTTGCAGAAAAATGCATTGTTAACACTTTGCAGTGATAGAATGTTGCAGGATGTTGTAAGTTACATTTTATTTTTGACGTATGTCTTATAAATCTGTTTGTAGTGATATGTGTCAGAACATAAATCTTTCATTTATATAAAATATATAATTAATTCAAAATCAAACAGCTTTTTATGAAAACATTGAGCAAAATAAATAGTCTTTCATATTTTAGTTTCAACAAAAGTAGGAGTAATATATTATGTTTATATATTTATGTAAATAGAAGTAAGGTCTTTAAATGGAACAGTTGAATTCTTTTTTTATTTTTAAATTTCTATTAATTCATTTGGTGTGTTCTAATAGTACAGGGTGCGTAGTGTTTTCAAAAAGTGTTTAAAGGTGCTTATTTTTGATTTTCGTTTTTTGAAAGCCGTTAAAGGTTCTTTTATCAATGGGAGTTTTTAAAAAGTGCTTAATTTTCCCTTTTCCAAAATCTGATATTTTTCTTTACCATGTTGATTTTCGCCACGAATTATGCAAAAGGATAAAAGACATTGTCCTATTCGACGTTTTCACAATTAATTCAACCCCAATCTATTTCGTCGTGCCGCCGGTCTGTAGTGTATGAAAACACCATATGTTTCACATGTTCGATGAAATACTTGCGGGTCCGCATTAGCGTATGCTGAGCTGGATTCAGTGGTAAGGACTTTTGACTCTCATGTGCAACCCTGCTGCATTTTGCAAGAGATTCTCAATTTCACACTTCATTTTACCCCTCTGTAATAGAACCGAAAAATCTCATATTCCGCTNCATGTTTGATGAAATACTTGCGGGTCCGCATTTGCGTATGCTGAGCTGGATTCAGTGGTAAGGACTTTTGACTCTCATGTGCAACCCTGCTGCATTTTGCAAGAGATTCTCAATTTCAGACTTCATTTCCCCCCCTCTGTAATAGAACCGAAAAATCTCATTTTCCGCCCTCTGTAATAGAATCGAAAAATCTCTCGAATTTTTGTTGATTACGGATTTTGTTGATTACCAACTAAACATTGTAAATTTTTTTCTCTATTAGTGAGAGAAAATTTAGTTTCTCTTGTTAGTTTCATCGTTTGTGATTGTTGCTCATTTTCCGCCCTCTGTAATAGAATCGAAAAATCTCTCGAATTTTTGTTGATTACGGATTTTGTTGATTACCAACTAAACATTGTAAATTTTTTTCTCTATTGGTGAGAGAAAATTTAGTTTCTCTTGTTAGTTTCATCGTTTGTGATTGTGACGCGCCATCGTCTTTGTCATTGTAAATAAAACCATCAACTGTCAAAAACTTGCCAACCCTGTCTAATTATGATATTTTTCAAAGTGCTTAAAAATATTTTTTGAGTGCTTGAAAAGTGCTTAAAAGGTGCTTATTTTTTGTTGAAAAATTTGGCTATGCACCCTGTTAAAGCAAGTTAGCAAAGTGTTATTAGTCAGTCACTTTTCATTGTTTTTTGTTATCATTATTTGACAGTAAAAAAAATAAATAAGTAAATAAACTGCAAAAGCGTTAATTAGAATGAATATTAACTTTCAGAAAGACAGAAACTGTATTCCTTAGAAAAGCAATTTGTTTAAACATATACTAACTTGTAAACAGATATATTACAGTCTGATGAACGGAATCACTGATAGGTAACAAATTGAATTAAAGATATAACAAGCTTCAACTCAAGTTTTAAGATTTGATGTTTCTCACTAACATCAAACATCTTTGTAAGTCATAGTTTTTGGTTTGGATTATCCGAAATTTCAGATTGTTGGGGTTTGGATTATCTAAAATTTTAGATTTTTAGGGCTCTACAACATTTAATATGTACCTAAATCTAAAGCACTGATAATCAGCTGTTACTGTTTTATTTTAAATTTTTCTTTATATATCTTTACACGTAAATTTTATTTTATTTTAGACTTTTGACAGATATCATTGTGCTGAATTAGTTATGAATTCTTTATTAACATTTGATGATCCAGCTATGAATAGAATGTCAGTTGCTATTTGTTCTATTTTAGCAGCCAGAGTAAGTAATTTTATTTCAAATATTTATTATTATTAGAATGATGAATTCCCTAATGAATTTGAAATAGTCTAGATACAGTGTTTGAGGGATATATATATATGGTACTTTTCTGTTAGCCATGCGCAAGCGAAAAATCGCCAAATCATGTAGAATTCTGCCAAATTTCTTACAACCATAAGGGGAACTTCTAGCCATCATTTGGAGTCGTATCTCACTGAATTTGTGTGGAGACGAGCAGTAAATGATCCATTTGAGCAACTTCTCAAGGACATTACCGTATTCTGGAAAAACCAATTATTATAAGCATTCTTTTTGGGTAAAACTGTTTTGTTTACAATTCATTAATATTTGTTTATAGTTGAACTTGTTTAACTTACTATTAATAAATATTTGTTTATAGTAAAACATTTTCGACTTTTATTCCATAGCCTGTTTTGTCATTCGCTTTGCTTGTCGCCTTGGCTCGCGTTTGGTTCACAATTGGTAATGTTAGTACCCGGCTAACTGAAAAGTACCATATATATATATTATATATATATATATATATATATATATATATATATGTTGTATACATAATATAAAATATATATTT